ACAAGACAATTATCAATGGGATCAAGAAAAGATTGGAGAAAGGCAAGGGAAAATAGGCGGAAGAACTTTTAAACATTTTGTGGGTCTACAGGACCACCCCTCGGTCCTCAACAGGGGAAACCCCCTACTCCCTAGCATACGGGATGGAGGCGATCATACCCCTCGAAGTAGGGCTCCCGACCATAAGGACCCAAGCTTTCGACGAAGGGGGAAATGACCGTCAACTGGGATTGGATCTGGACCTAGTGGAAGAAAGAAGGGAGGAAGCCGCCTTGAGGATAACTAAGTATCAAGAGAAGATCTCCCAACTATACAACAGGAGGGTCAAGACTCGAGAATTCCGAATAGGCGATCTGGTCCTCAGAAGGGTAACGGCCAACACCCAGGATCCAACAGAGGGAAAAATGGGACCTAACTGGGAAGGGCACAAAGTGATATCAATCGGGGGCGTCGGGTCCTATAGATTAGAAGACATGAGTGGAAAACTTGTAATACGACCATGGAATGTTATGAATCTAAAGAAGTATTATTTTAAAGTACTCTCTCCCTCAAGTGCTTGCCAACGACAAAGATAAAAGGCAAGGGTAAGGCCCTAGGGACAGAGTTCAAGGACTCCTGTCCCTGAAGCAAACACAGGAGCAAGCCTCCTGCAAGGGTAAGGCCCTGGGGACAGAGTTCAAGGACTCCTGTCCCCGAAGCAAACACAGGAGCAAGCCTCTTGCAAGGGTAAGGCCCTGGGGACAGAGTTCAAGGACTCTTGTCCCCGAAGCAAATACAAGAGCAAGCCTCCTGCAAGGGTAAGGCCCTGGGGACAGGGTTCAAGGACTCCTGTCCCCGAAGCAAACGCAAGAGCAAGCCACTTGATTGGGCAAGCAGCCCCAAAGCAGACACAAAAAAAAAAAAAGAGGAAGAGAGCAAAACATTATTGTACGCAGAAAAAGGAAAGAAATACTCTTTATTTCAAGAAATAGGGGCTTTGCGTCCCCAAAGGCTACAAAAAAAAATAAAGACGGGTACAATAAAAAAGGAAGAGACTTTCATCTGGCTCCAGGCATCTCCAGAACATCAGCCGAGGGCGAGTCGGCAAAGAATGATTGAGAAGCTTCTGGAACAGGCAGGACAGGTACCTCGGCAACAGGTAGACTTTGGGCATTTTGAGGATCAAGGGCATGGTCCGACGGGGCGTCCTCAGACAGATCCACTATCACCGGCTCGGGCGGATCCACCGAGACTTGCACTGGTGTTGAAACCTCATCCTCGGCAGCGACCTCTGCTTCGGCCCGTGCCATCTCTGCCGAGGGCACATACTTGTGCATTTGGAAGAACGGGGAGTCTGAGGGGATTCCAGCAGACTGGAGCGCCTCGTCCCACCCTTTCTTGAAGAACTCCTTGCTGTTTTCTTCAAGAACAGGGAGCACGTCATCGGCGAACTCTTCCCGCAGTTGCTCCTCCGATTTTCTGTTCAGCTCCTCGGCCCTGATCCTGTCCAGCTCCTGGGTAAGGGCCAGACAGCTTTCCTCTGAGCCTACGGCCCTCTCCTCCGTAGCAGAAAGCCGCTGCGTTTGCTCGGTAATCCTCCTCTCAGCATCGGCAAGGGCAGCACTTAGTTTTTCAGCGCCAACCTTGGCCGATTCGGCGTCCTTGAGGAGTTGCTCGATTTGAGCAGCCTGCCCCGCCAGGGTAGAATCCCTGGCAGCTACATCTTCCATTGCCCGGGCGAGGGCCGCTTCCGCCTCCTCCTTCTGATCCTGGGCCCTCTGGAGGTCCATCCTAGACCCGTGGTACCGAGCAGCAATGATGGAGATTTGCTGGGTAGCCTGCAAAGGAAGGAAAAAGTGTTAATCACAAAAATGGAAAGCAAGAGTGAAGGAACCAAAGCAAAAATAAACTCACCACCAGGGAATTCTGGATGATGGAGCGGAACAACACGTTGGTTGATCGCCCCCTATGAGCCGCAATGTCAGCCTCAAAATGCAGTGTCTCACTCACTGCATGGGCGACATGAGGATCCAGCAGAATGGAATCGTCGACCCTGATCACTCGGTTCATGTGATCAGTGGCTCGGGGATTCCACTCCGCGGCCTCCACTGTAGGCGGAAGGGGAGGAGGAGTCTGCTGCTGTTGTTGTTGCTGTTGTCGGGGCTGTTGCTGTTGCTGCTGTTGTGGAGGAGCAGGGGGTAATCCACGGCCCCTCCCGCTTTGCTGCTGAGCGGGAGGTGCCCTGGGTCCTCGGCTAAGGCCATCATGCCGATGTTTGACCCTTCTCTCCTCTTCCACCTGAGGATCCCTCGAAGATGGGGTGGAACTGGTCCCCGCAGAAGGGGTGCCGCCGGTCGTTCCTCGACCTCTCCCGGCTGCGAGGGCTTGCCTCTGCCTAAGGAACCCCAAATCGATGCGAGGGTGTGTGGACATCGCTGCCTCGAGAGCGTCTTCGGCGTCTAAGGATTGAAGAATTTGGAAGTCTGGCCACAAGTCTCCTCCCGAAGTCCCCACCTCGGCGTCTGAAGGAACAGCGTCCTCTCTGACCCCGAGCTCTTCAGCAACTCCCTCGACCTCTGCCTCTGAAGCCCGATCCGGGTCTTCCTCCAAATTTTCCTCAACCTCTAGCCTCGCCGCCTGATCGAAGAGTTCAGACCACTGCGAAGGCTCAAAAGGCTGCGGAAGCTGTGAAAATTTCTTATACCCGGGGGTATAATTCAGCAGGATGTGAGCAGCACGGCCAAACCCGTTGTCACCCGTGAATCTCCAAACCGTGATTAGGTCGGCAAAGTTCACCAGCGACCGAGGGGGAGGAGCTGTTTCCCGAGCAGGAATATCTGCACAAACAAAAAAGTTGTCATGAACATGGGAAGTCCGGAGAAAGAAATAAGAAACCCAAAGGAACCGACGTACTTGTCGTTCTCCATTCCAGAGGGCATAACAAGTCATTGTACTCGGGACCAACACCTCTCTGCCAAGATCCCTTGAAGATTAGGATATCGTCCTTGTACCCCTTGTCCGAGTCAGGAAGATGGGTTACAAGGTACATGGAGGGGTCCCTGGCTTTGAGGTAGAAGTGTTGGTGAGGCATGACATGACTCTAAGGAGGGAATAACAGAAAAGGAGATCGTTGAGCCCAATATTTACCCCGAGGCGCCTATTGAACTCTAAGACCCCCATGATTATTCGGAAGACGTTAAGGCAGCATTGCCCAGGGAAGAGGCAAAAATGAGAGAGGAACTGAAGAAGCAGGGGGGATAAAGGAAACCTAATTTCACCCTCTATGATGGCCTTGGTATAGAAGGGCATGGCATCCTCGGCCCCGAGGGTAGATGAGTGCACCACTGGGTCAAAATCCTCTACGTCTACGCACGGAGGAATGCCGTACTTGGCCCTAAACCTATTGATCTGCTCATCGCCTTTTACCTTATATTTCCCTGACCCCGAAGGACCAGCCTGAGGATTCTCGGGAGCAGGGCGACGACGAGGCATCTCTAAAAAAAAGAAAGAAGAGGGTATTTGTTCTTGAAAATCCCTGAGGAAGTTTCCCGAGGGTTTAAATCGCTATGTATCGACCGGATGACACCTCCAGTCAATCGGAAAACAAAAGGCTAGGAGGAAGAAAAGAAAGAGGATTCTGAAACTCACCCGAACGTCAAAATGGAGTTTTTTCTGGAAAAACCTTAAAACAACTCCCTCCAGAAAGTTCAGGAATCAACAATGGGTCTGCTGGCTTTGAGATTTTGAGAGAATGGGCAGTCGACGATGGCAGAAGAAACAAAACTCCGGCGAAGATTCAAGAAGACGTACTCTGGAGAAAGTTTGAAATGGAAAAACGAAGGAAACCGGAGAGGAACCCCCTTTATATAGGGGCAATTTTCATCATTGAGCGCGAAAATCGAAACGGCGCATTTAATGCGCACGACATCCCAAGCCGGGGAAAGCGGCTTGAGGCCATGATGAAGGACGGGTGGTAGTTGGGAAACCCTTCGTCTCCTTACAACGCGTGTCCTCGGTGTCAGAAGATCGAAGGCTGGGGGGCAGTTGATGGGACTTTTCTGAAATACCCTATGATGAAGACACGTGTCCTCGGTTCCACTAAAGCACTGTTGCTAAGATCAAGCACCATCGGCGCACGAATGTCCTCGCCCCCGAGGTACCGTCATATAGGATCATACATCCAGTATATTTTACAACCGACACATGTTCTCGGTCAGATATGTACCTCGGTCGGCAACCTCCCTCGGTCCCCGAGATGAGCCTTTCCTCGGTGCCGAGAGATACCCTCCTGGACACTTCCTCTACTCCAGGATAAGCTATTGACGTGCGGGTCATTAGCCTAGGCTAGCCTAGGATATTCATCATGACCTCGTCTTACACAAGTAATGTCAGAACGTACTGGAATACAGAGGTAACAGCCGATAGGGGATGGACGCGTGACATATGATATCACATCAGAGACAGACAAACCGCATGCCGTTGCTGACACGCGACTTGGGAAAGCAAACAATTAATTGTACCATTCCCTTGATGAGACCGCATTCAATGCGGTAAGGCTCGGAAATAAAAGGCAATAAATGCTCCTGTTACAGAGCATTTATTGCATCCTCCCCGAGAGGAGCACATTGTACCGTCGGCATCCCGACGACCCAGTATTGATTGCTCGGGACCCCGAGCAGTTAATTAGAGAAGACATTCCTCATCAGAATCAAATGTACACGCTACCTGTGCCTAATGATCACCTACTGACCGCACTGACAGCAATCATGAGCTTTTAAGGTATAAATACTCCTTGCAAAAGGCAGAGCGGGTATGCAACAACAAACTCTCTACTACAATACACACTACACACCCAGTGTTTTCTCCTTCCTCTCTCTCTCTCTCAAAGACTGACTAGATCGTCGGAGGGGATACGCCGGAAAACACTCCGGCGCCCTTCTAACTTGTTCTTCTTTGTTCCAGGAATCTCTTTCAGCCTTACAGGATCGTTCTTCCTTTCCCAGGATCTCCCGTTGCCGTTCCAGGTTACTACCTTACCTTGCAGGCTGTTCCAAGCAACGTGCCTGGTCACTCGACCGGCCCACCCGAAGTTCACCAAGGGAGAGATCTGTTCTCGTTCTTTATATTGTGCAAGATCTTGCACGCACATCTTTATAGCTAGAATCCAGTTTTGGAAGTCTGACCAAGGTTACAGGAGATGTACATGGTGGTGGTGGTGGGGTTTGGGTTTTAGAGGTTGAGTGGTGGTTGTAAAGAGGAAAGGGGGAGAGGAAGAAGGCAATCAAATTGTTTGAATTACGACACAACTACCTCCCTTTCTGAAACCTGGCAGCACTACTGATTGCTGAACCCATTTATGTAGTAGCATCAGTAGCAAAGCTCTAGTTGCACCACAAACTATTGATAGTGACTCCTGATCTAATGCCAGTTGAAAATAGTGCACTCTTTTAGGGGTGAACTATGAGAAATATACTTGCCCCATTAGCATGCATATAGTAGAGCAACCAGCCCCCTTCAACAGCTCTCATAATGTGTTCTACGCTGTTGAAAGTTAGGTCCACATGAGGTGTGGGATAAAAGGACAGTGAGGATAGCACTCCCCTTATTCTTTTCCTAAAGGAGAAGAACTTCATTTCTGAGACATTGAAAACACATTATTATTTTCATGGTTGATATGTTTAGTGAAATTTCATGTGCTGTGCTGTCTAAATTTGGTGAGTTATTTAACAGGAGGACTTCTACAACCAACCGACCTTCAATATGTCCAGGTCAACTATTGTAGATAACATTGTGAAGTTTGTGACAGAAGTTGTTGGAAACTCATACTATTCTGCAGTGAAATCTGGCTTTGATGACACTAATACAAATCAGGCGACGAGGATTTCCTTCAAGGTGAGCTTGAATTTACTGAATGTTACTCCACTGACCATTGTTATTGTTCACATACCAACTCCTGTGTGTTGTGCAGTATGGTTGCTCGAGAGGGGTGTTTGGGACGCCTATTTTCTTTGTAAATGGATTTGTATTACCCGGTGCTGGCGCGGCAATAGACTATAATACATGGAGAAGCATCATTGACCCATTGGTCAGCCAGTAGAAGGAGAAACCTACACATTTCCTATAGCGAGGATTTTATCTATTGTCTGTCTGTTCTCTCTCCCCCCTCCCCAAACATATTTGAACTTAATAAATTTAACATAAGTGCCTCTTAAAGATTGAATTATGCCCTTCTTACGTTTTTCATTTTTTTTTTTATTATTGGGTAAGTCTTACATTTTTCATCTTATTCACCACAAAAAAGAAACATTTTCCATTTTCTGAATTCCCTTCAAAGAGAATGGAGCTATTGGATTGAAATCAGGCCTATGCTAATCCATCCAAATTGGGATGGGACAACTTTAAACTTCGGAAAAAAGGGTAATTATACTCTGCTCACTCCAAGTTTATACTAAATTTGTAAGTGGTCCCTGACCTTTTACCTCTATAAATAAAAAAAACTTGCAAATAATCCCATGTCATTTGGGAGTAAATTCTAGAATAACAGAGGTAGTCAAGCAGATTTTTTTTTAATCCAAATCATAACAGAAGTATAATAAGATTCGCTTCATCGCTCCAATCATGCAATTTCGACTGCTTTTCATTCATAATTTCAAATTTTCAAATCATGAAAACTATATTAGGGAGAAAAAGTACTTGTCTATAAATTGTCGCACTGCTAAATTGTAAACAATATTTGTAACGTCAGAGGAAATAGATAGGTCAACTAACATTCCACCCATGTTCATGAGCTGACCAATAGATTCTCAATAAATCACCCAACACAAAAGAATCATGCAACCATAAAATAAAACATCAAGAAGCGAAAAATAGAACAAAGATCATTAAAAAAAGGTAATACAACACAAAAGAAATGAGATCAAATGATGTGGTGTTTTGAAGGTAACGAAACAAATTTTACGGACTGAAATTTTGAGGAATAAATTGAAATGTAAAACCCGCGTGATAAATTTTATTTCATTGAAATTTAAGAAGATCTTTAAAATCTTATCAAAGTATAATCGATTTGTGGGAGATCGAAGACGGTGCACTTCAAGATAGGAAAGTTTCAGCAATGGACATGGCAACACTGTCTGTGCCACCACCAACATCCACTAGCGAAGGTTTTGGAACCAATGACTCAAGAAATGCCATGGTTTTGCCAAAGTTGGATCTAGTTGATAAAGCACAAATGCTCTTTGCATTTAAAGGCTCATCCTTTAAGAGTAGACTAGAACAGGGTTTCAGTAAATACCCATCTTCTTGTTCATTGTCGCTTACTTAATTAAAGATATCAATCTTGCAAAATGAAATTAAAACACTAAGAAAGGCTTAATGTATTGTTCCTAATTTGCAATCGAAAGAAAAGTAACAAGAAAATAGCTCTAAAATTTATTATTTACAATTGTAGCAATCCAGAGTTGTGTATACTAAAAACAGGAAAAAAAAATGGTTCTAATTTTTATTATTTTTTTGGATAAAAATCATAGTTGGTCCATGAACTTTACCTTTAGTTTCAATTTGATCTATGAAATTTTAATTGTCCCAATTTAATCCCTCAACTATTAATATTGTCTCAATAAAGTTTTTCTGTCTATTTCTACAATTAGTTCAATGCTGAAATAGATCAGATTGAGCTAGTCTTCAGTTGATTTAATGATAAAAATTGTTGAAATGACTTAATTAAGATAAAATTAATAGTTGAAGAACTAAATTGAGATAATTCAAAAATTAAGGGACCAAATTAAAACAGAAGACAAAATTGAGGGACCAATTACCATTTTACACTATTTTCTTTGGGTACAAGTTTGAATTGTCGTAGGTTTGGAAAGCCCGGCCCGATGAAAGAGAGTTCGTAACTTTCGGACCAAGTAACCAGGCCCGATGAAAGAGAGTTCAAAACATTTGGCCCAAATAAAATTGAGTCACACTAACCGGTCCGGTCCATTACTGGAAAGTGATATAAATATTTGGGACTTCAGAGTGAGGCGGTTAGGGCGTGAACGAAGAAACGAAGCCGAAGAAGAGGGCTCTTCCTTCGTGGAGCATACTATCTTATCCTTTATTCGAAGAAGGTACGAAAAATTACCTATTCAGATCCATTGAGAACTTATTTTTGCTATCTGTAGTCTATCGAACGATTAATGCTCAACAAAGGAAACCACCAAGGAAAACCTAGTTTTTTCTGAATCTCGGTGGTTAAATTGAAACCCGAGGTTCTTGAGACTTATTTTGCGATTTCATAAGATGTTTTTGGTGTTGATGCTTTTGTTTTTTGCTTTTTTGTTGTGGTATAGTTTTGATTTCGTTTTTTCGTTTGATATGTTCTCTCGTTTGCTTTTGTGAATTTATGGATGTTCGTTTGCAGAAAATGGATCGGTACCAGAGGGTTGAGAAGCCTAGGGTGGAGACTCCGATTGACGAGAATGAGATTCGGATTACGAGTCAGGGGAGGATGCGAAGCTATATCACTTATGCCATGGGTCTGCTTCAGGTATTTGTTCAATTAACCTTATTTAGTCGTTGTTTTATCTGGAACTCCTTCTTCTTCTTCTTCTTCTTTTTCTTCTGTGGTAAAATCTTCATTGATGACTTGCTGTCGTTTATCTGGATATGAACTCAATATTATGAAATCTTGTGCAAGATAGATTGGATTTCCTTTCCGGTGATGGGCTGAATGATTGCTTATATATGAGGCAGTCGGTGTGCAATGTGGGCCTGTAATTGCTTTCCAGTTACTGACTTTATTCTTTCAGTGGCTGGCTAATATGATGAGCCATCAGAATCAATGACAGATGAACCATAAATCAGATTTTATTTTACTAATTTGCGAGTGTGCATACATGGATATCTTTACAATTGAATTGTGAGAAATTGATCCAATCGAGCAATACTCTTAGTTTTTCAATCGGCAATTGCTATATATATGCTATTAATTTGTGTGAGTATATACATAACTATTGATGCAATTAAATTTTGAGAAATCGTTCTACCCATACCAGACAGTTTTTCTTACTGTTAGAGGCTATAGTCTTGGTAGTTTTATTGACACCTATTTATCTACGTATGTATTACGTGTAGGATTTTGAGTGATATGTAAAACAAAGAAAAAATAGAATCGAGGAAGAAAACCCGCTTCGAGGGGGGCGAAAACCTCCAATGGCTCAATTTGAGAAGAACCTATGTCCAAAACTTTCACAATAAAGTTCAATACAATATTCAACATCCCTATTTCATTGATAGGAAGACCTTTAAATACAGTAAAATAAAACTACCTTAATAACTAACTTAACTCATTACTCCTATTATCTTAGTAACCACTTAAGAAACTACCCACAAAATATTCTATGACTAACTCACTTACTAAAATAACTCTCTAATAACTACCTCAAATACTACATAAATATATATTAAAAATGTGCACATAACAGTATGGTATAAAATATATTTGATTATTGGCCGAAGTATGATGCTAGTGGCTGGTCCGGTAGATAAGAACTCAGATTTCATCCCTCAATGCTTATATTCGAGTCTCTATAGTTACGAAAATTTGGTGAGGCTAAACGTACTCTTCAACTCTCATAATATGTGGTGAGACCTTAGTTTCGGCTCCGATGTAAGTGTGGTGGAGTTAGAGATAGTTGTGAGATGCTAAGCCTTGGCGGATATGTGGGGTGACCTATTTGTATATTTGTTTTTTGTACAAAAAAGAAGTATGATGCGCAGAAGAATAAGAATTGTAAATGTAATAATCTGATACCTTCATTTTTTCTAATTTGCCTTTCGTTAATACTTTGTAGGAAAAAGGTTCTCCAGAAATTGTGTTCAAGGCAATGGGTAGAGCTATCAACAAAACTGTAACAATTGTGGAGTTAATTAAGGTTTATGCGTCCCAGTGCTTATGTACTCGTTTCATTTGTAACATACTATTGGGCTTGTTTACTGATGGAATTGATGATTGTGCATCATACTTTATTGTAGAGGAGAATTATTGGTCTTCATCAAATTACCTCAATCAGATCCACCGACATAACTGATACATGGGAGCCCCTGGAGGAAGGCCTTCTCCCGTAAGAGCTCTTAGCACCTAATTTTGGTCAAGAAAATATATGCATCTTCAAAGCTTAATGATAGTTATTGGCCTCTGCATTGGAGATCGCCTATTGTGACATTCTTTTTCATTGATATGGCTTTTCATTAGTATTGGTGTCGTTATTGTAGCTTGGAAACCACTAGGCATGTTTCGATGATCACCATAATTCTATCAATGAAGGAGCTGGATACATCATCTGTTGGGTGAGTTGGGTTTAGTCACATTTCATTTTCCTATGTAAAATTTTTATGACTAAGCTTTCTAGCGGTAGTAGTGTATCTGTTAATAGGCTCTTAAATAGTGTGATTGCTTGCTAAAAACTAGAAAATGATCTAAATGATATGATTTCTTCCCAATATGTGTCCTACCACTGTGAGCAATGGCTTCATCATTTTAATTCATTACTAAATAGCTTGGCATTTTGTTAATGTTGACAAATGGAAGATAAAAAATGTTCGATATCTTGACATTTGTCTATGTGTGGGTTCCTTGCTTTTTAATCTTGTCTCAAAATATTGAATTTTAGGATCCCTAGAAATTGTGAAAAGAGGTAAGTAATTTGTATGAGTAATAGATTTGGAATTCTAATGATAAGAAATGTTTGGCATAACCTTGAATCTGATTGAAAGATATAACCACTTAACAAAGCCTTGCCTCAACGTTTTTGGGGTCGACTACATGAATCCTGTTTTACCATTATGTTCTGGGCTCTACTAAGGGCTATATTTTTTGTTGAACTATAAGTTATCATATCTTACTTTATTATTTCATTTGAAGTTAATTTTAGTATTCCTCAACCCCTATATTTATCGTCAATAGGTATCATGTCACTGTTTCTCATCGGTAGCGTAGTAGTCTATATATAAATATGTGATGTAGAGGGAAGAGAAAGAAAGGGGATATTAAATCCTCAAAAGGATTATGTCAAGAAGCACAAATTTTTGTAGAGAATTCTCAAACTAATATTTAACTCTGATTAAAATAATATAGAGTACATCCTTATTTATAAATCAATTGTCCTATCATAAATGAATTACTCTACTATTAAAATTCTATCACCCTACTAATTTCAATCTGATAAATACTATCTAACTAAAATTTCAAATAATAAATAATAAAAATAACAAATAAAAATCCTAATAAATCTACAAAGTACATTTTCCTTTGGACCAAAAACTCTTAGCCTTTCACCTAGGCTTTTAGATTCGATCACGTTGGTCCAACCATCCTATGGCTATGCCTTCAATTCTTCTTCTTTGAAAGAAACTTGACTCTGGCGAGGAAGGAGGAGGGCAAAGAATATCATCTGACAAAATAGTTCGAGAAATCCATGATGAAGTCTTTTCTTGTTGACGCATAAGATTCTCAATGTTAACTCTATTTCTAGTAGATAGAGGACGAATACCACCTAATATAGGACTGTTAATCAAATCATCAAAATCAACCTCATTAACATCAAGAGGCTTCACAACTTAAATCTTGGAATTTGACTTATTAGATTCTTTAGCTTCCTTGGGAATTTCCTTTTCAATTGTTGCAACAACCTTTGTAGGGCATTGGAAAGACAAATGGCTAAACCCTTGACAATGAAAGCATCTTGTCTTGGCATTAGGGTTAGCACCCCCTTGAAAATTAGAAGTAACACTAGGATGAGTTTGTTTATTAGGGACAAAAACACTCTCTTGTGGTTTACCAAATGACTTAACTAGTTTTGTATTCACAAAATTCCTATCACTTTGAGTTGTAGACACTTGAGAAGACATCAGAGAAGCCTTTTTTTTTTCAGATTGTCTTCCATTTGATAGGTAAACTGAATTGCATCTGCCATAGTGTAAAGACAACTTGTAGCTAACCTTGAAGAAATCTTTGAATCGAGCCCTTGCGTATACATGGTGATCATTACATCCTTAATCTATGGGAACTCAGATCAGGTGGCTAAGCAGTAGAATTTTCTTGTGTAATCTCGACAGACATGTTTTCATGATTCAACTATTTGAAATGTAGATGAGCTCGTTACTTATAATTAGTAGGCACAAAATAACGAGTCATAGTAGTTTTCATATCATTCTATGATCTGTCAAGGTGAGTTTGTTGGTACTTTACCTACCAAAGCCTTGCTACACCCTTTAACTTAGATTCTATAAAAAATACCTTCCTCTCATCAGTCAAACGATACCATCTGAAAAAACTTTCAAGGTTATGCAATCAATCAAGGTATGTCTCGGAATTATTATCCCCACGAAAATCTCCAACTTCTAACTTAACTCTTGTATCAATATCAAATAATCTAGGTTCTTCTTAAACTTGAGCTTGTGGAGGAGCCTGTACAAGTACCTGTGGAGGATTGATGATTGAAGATGATGAACTATTATGGACATTTTTCTCAACTCTTTTGGCGTTTAATTCGGTGTTGGAAACCATCTTAATGGAATAATTGACTTGAAAAATTAAAGAAAAATTTGGGGCTAAATTGTAATTTCAGAAATTTTAGGGATCAAACTATAATTTTAGAAACTTTAGGGGTCAAAATGTAATTTATAAAACTTTTGTGGGGAGAAAGTGTTATTTTAAAAACCTTTTTTTTTTTGGGTAAAAATTGTAATTTTAGAAACTTTGGGAGGAATAAAGTGTACATTCGAGAATATATAGAATTTCAGATTTCGTCAGGTCGTTGATAGTTCTAAAATAGGCTAGGTTAAATCTAAGGAGCAAGTTACTTAAAGATATGAGTTGGTAAAGGGTTTTATGGGCTAGGGGTTTTTTTTTAAGCTTGCTTGATTAACAAGAGTAGTCGCTTTCTTCGGCGATAACTAATAGCAACAACAAAAATTAGAAGAGTTGAGATTATGGTTCGTAATTTTGCTCTGATACCAATTGATGGAGAGAGAGACGGTGAAAGAAAGGAGATATTGAATTCTCGCAAGGATTAAGTCAAGAAATACAAATCTCTGCATAAAATTATCAAACTAATATTCAACTCAAATAATGTAGAGTACATCCTTATTTATAGACCAAGTGTCCTATAATAAATGAATTATTCTACTACTAAAACTCTATTAACTTATCCTTATTAATTTTAATATGATAAATACTATTTAACTAAAAATTCAAATAATAAATAATAAAAATAACAAATAAAAATGCTAACAAATATATCAACTATATTCCCAGTGGACCAAAAACTCTTAGCCTTTCACCTAAGCTTCCAGATTCGGTCACAAGTTTCTTCCTTGTTTTATCTCTTTTATGTGTTACATTTACTTTTTCACGGATATATTTGTTTCTAATTCTATCTTTACTAGTTTTACCTCTTATTCATCTTAATATTTTCATTTTCACACACTCAACTTTTGAACGTGTTGTTTCTTAGTTGTCCAACGCTCTGTATTATAAAACATACCGGGTTTTATGTCTGCTCTATAGAACTTTCTTTTTTTACTTAAGGGGTATGCATCTATTATATAATACACAAGTTGTATTCCTTTACTCGTTCATCCTTCATTAATTTTATGAGTAATATCGTCCCCAATCTCACACTGACTAATAGACCTTAAATTTTTAAAGCATTCATTCTTTGGTATCTCTTAATTTTCAATTTTTATCTATTTCTCAATTTCGATTAATTTTTTGTTTTAAACTAAAGTTACATTTCATTTATTTAATTTAGTATTACTTATCCTAAACAACTATGAACTCGTTTGGTTGTCGTATTAATAAAAAAAAAAGGATTGGATTAATAATTCTGTATAGGTGCATAAAATATAAAATTGAATAGAGGATAAAAATACTTTCTATTCTATCCCGTGTTTGTTATAACATCAGATTAATATCTAGATAATAGTTATCTTGTCTACTCTTACGTTTGTTTATTCTATGAATCTCGTGGTATTAGGATCACATTGACCAAAATATCCCAAATTTAAACTAGTCTAATTTTTTTACTATTTTTTAACTTGAATTTGTACAAACAAAAGTCTATAGTAGATTCAAACAATCAATAATAAAAAAATTACCTTAGTTGATGATGAGAGGAGACGTGAATTGATGAAGAAGATTGTTGCGGGAAGGGACATGAGTTGTGTGGGTTACGGTAGTTTTGGGGATAAAATAGTAAAATAACGACATAATACTTTTAGATTGGATTACAATACCACCTCCTAGGTGGTATTAAAATTAGCTTAATAGTATCAATTGGCGGTACTAAAAATATACAGTTGATATATGTATTTGATTTAGTCCTATACATAATACCAAGTGACTTTTGGCATCCAAATATTGTATAAACTAGGATTAAAGTATTTTATCACTCTTTAGTATCCCACGAGCCCTTTGATTCTAGAGCTTCTTGTTCTATTTCTAGTTTATTTTAATTCTTTTTACTTTCATCAACTAATATAAATATTGTCACAAATATCTTGAATGTACCTTGTCGATTCATACATAATCAACATAAAAGATATGGATTGAAAGCAACACTCTAATGTAAGCCTATAGTAATTGACAATTCATTAGTCTCTATTGTCGTTATTCTCACTAAAGTCATGACATTTTCATACATTTTCTTAATCACGTCTGTTTTAATTCTTGTGATCTTCTCTATCCAAAATATATTTTTATCCACAAATAGAGGGAGGCAAGATCATTTGTACACTGGAGTGAGTCAAATGATGATATGAGCCTATTAGGTATTTGAGTTGACTGAAGTAGTTGGTATGTGGGAATTGAGTTTGGTGCCACTCGGGTGGCCAGTATTTCATTTTTTTTGTTATTGCAAAAAAGCACAAGTCAAACTAAATGCACTTGAATCACAGAGATCTGTGATCACTCATGCATTTCTATGCCATGTAGCTATCAGCCTCCACTTCCAGCTGACCAGGTGAAGGTGGCGACAGAATTTGATTATGAACGAGGTAGTGTGATATCTCATCGTTTATGCAAGTATATTTAAGTTATTATTCACAAAGCCATTCATTGTCATATGCTTTGAACGTGCAGAGGGATCACCTACTAATTTGGGTAGGGGTCGTGGTGGTAGAGGAAGGGGGAGGCCGAGAGCCATATCTGGTATGAGATCTGATTTAATTTACTTTTTAGAGTTCCTTTGGTTCTTGAAATATGTTGGTAGGATATTTCTGTTTCACTAGGTGGTACACACATGACAACTATGATCACATCGTATGGGACGAGCAGAGAGAGAGAGAGGAATAAGGGGAATAAATAAGGATGGAGTAATGCACACTGTGTGTGTGTGTTATGTTTGCTTCTTTGGTATTTATGTTGCTTTAAACTTAAACCAGCATGAAGACTAAGTTAAAATTTGAATACATTTCGTTGGCTATTACGTAATAGTGGAAATGTGGCCTAAATTTGGTTGACCAAGGTTGCAAGTGGTTCAGTTTCTGAAGTATACGAGCTTTTGGTTCTGAATGTGGTAGCATAGTTTTAATTTTTGCAAATTTAGTGATTACATTTTATTATCACAGGCAATGGCTATGCACATGCTGAATATGAGGATGGAGGTTACAATCGGGGCTATGCCAGGGGTAGAGGTCGAGGACGAGGTCGTAATTTCCGTGGCCGTGGAAGGGGAGGGTACAATGGTCCACCAGTGGATACTCAGCAAGATGCTGTAGGCTACAATCAAGAAGTGCCTTTTCGGGGCCGAGGTACAGCTTCATGTTTCCGAGTAATATTTTCTACTAAATTATGTTTGGCAATAATTTTTGGGGGCTTGTCTTTTCTTCTAATGTCACAGTAGGGGTACAATACTGCTAACTGCAACTTTGAGAATCAACTAATCTGACCCGTGTTGCTTGCTTTTTGTTTGGTGGACATTTCTGTCCTGGATTAACCAACTGGAAAGCCGATTGATATCATTTCCGGTTAGTAGATTAAGTGTGAGGTGCAAGATATAAGATGCAAGAGCTGATTAGATGACATAGGTAACTGGATCCAGCTCTTGTAACAATAATATTCATGATTGAAACCCTGATCAGTTAATACTATCACTCATGATACCTGAGGCTTTAAAGGCTGGGGTCCTAACCCTGTTTGATTGACAAGTTTTTTTTGTTTACTATTGACTTTGGATTTCATTGCTTGGAAGAAAGCAGTTGGGCATTTTGTGTAGCTTTTACTTGCCATAATAAGAACAATTTGATTTAAGAGGAAGATTCTTTCTTTAAATGAAATGAGCCAATGCAGCATCTTTGTCTTAAAAAAAAATTGTGGGAACCCGTGCTAAAGGATCTCTTAAAAAGATGGCTATTATAATTTTTAATATATATTCTTAAAATGCATGGCCCTAAAATTTTGATTCAGCAAGTGCCTTTCAGTAATAATATTCTTCAACTATTATGCAGGGCAACTGCTATAATGGCACAGCAAATTGGTGCTCTTCATTATTACATATGATGATGATAATTTTCCTTTGTTGTAGGTCGTGGCCGTGGAAGGGGAACTCGTGGGAGGGGTCGTGGCTTCAGATCCAATGGGCCAATCCTTGCTGCTGCTGGAGGGGCTTAGCTTAGCTGCTGTGTCTTGAAGCGTTGCAGAGCTTATGTTCTATAACTTCTTGTTGGATGCCTGCTCCATTTCTATGCTTTTATTTTTTCTGTCCTTACTAATATTAACTGTAGGACATAGGTCTGTAGCCATTGTAGACTAACCAATAGAAGTTTGGACTGCAGCCCTTATGTGGTGTCCTTTTTGTATTCTTTCCTTTTTATCCGTCTACCTTATTTTTTCCTTTCCTTTTGTAGAAATAGGTCTGATGTATTATCACTGTAATTTGTTTAGTGAGCAGCACATTCATTCAATTATTTGTGGTTGTAGAACATTTTCTTTCTTTTTTTTTGTTTGGGAATCTGGTAAGTGATTTTTTTTTATCCTGGCCCTTTCCCCTTTTTTTCAATTTTTTTAACAGTAATGCTATTAAAATTTGATTTACTGATATAATTTATTGATTTAATTTATTGTTATTTTTGAATACACTGTATCAAATATTAGAATTTAGTGTTAATTTAATAATTTTTATGAAATTATATTATTATTTTAGTAAATTAGATTAAATTTTTAACTACAAATAATATATATATATATATATTTTTAAAGGTGGTTGGGTATTGAATCAGTCCGCTTCGTGCCATAGAAAGAAGCATACATGTGAGTTTCGTTGGTCGTGATTGTAGTATCTTATATATCAAGGCTGCCGTACTTGATTTGATGTTTTATCGTATGGGTGAGGATTAGGATTTTTATTTGTTAATGTTTTTGTTCATTAATAGATAAAGATATCACGTATATATGTATTATTGTTAATATATAAACCCATTTACATTTTATTACTCATATATTAACCATTTAACATATTTTAATATGAGTAATGCTATTTAAATTTAAAAATTTGTCTTAATTTGTTAACTCAGTTCACTGTAATTTTTAGATTGATTCTTAATCTTATTAAATATTAAAATTTAGTATTAATCTAATAATTTTTATTAAATTATATCATTATGTTAAAAAATTAAATCAAAATTTAAAATTTAAATAACATTACTCATTTTAATATTTACCCCTCTTCTCGATTTCTCTCATTGGTGGGACCCATACTATGATCGAGGTTCCCACCCTTGTTGACTAAAATGCAGTGCACACCACGAAATGAGCAGAATAGCAGCCGCAGTATCAAGTGGCGGCTCTGACTCTTTTCAATTGTAACAGCATTTTAAAAAAATGACTAAAACATATATTTAGTTATTGAAAGATACAAAAATACGTTTCAATAGAAAATATTTAAATTAGGTAAAATATATTTTTGTTAAACTGTAATATCATGTATAAATAATTTTTAATAAATTCTCTCTCCGCTTGTCATTTTTTATCTCACTTTATTCACTCTATTTTTTTTTTCTCTCTCTTTTTATTAGTCCTAACAAAAGTATAAGATATAAAAAATAATATTTAAAAGAAATAGTTAATATATAAAAAATTTGTTAAAATATGTATTAAAATAAAAGAAAGTGCATTTTTAAATAACTAAAATACCAAAACTTGGAGACGCTCTAATAGCGTATGCGCTGCTGTCATCAATTGCCCACCTCAATTCTGAATGTCACATGCTTCTGTCGTATAGATATATATAGAGCAAGAGAGCAAGCAAGAGCCGAAAACTAAAGAGCAAGCAAGAGCCGGCTATGGAGATCAAGGAGGACATTGTTATAGTGGGCGCCGGAATAGCGGGTCTCACTACATCTTTAGGACTTTGGAGGTATAGGGACAGTACTATGTCTCTATGATATTGTGATGGCCTTTTTACGAGTACTGAAAGTGTTCGTTCTTAATTTTCAATTCCATGTAGGTTGGGACTTCGATGCTTGGTTTTGGAGTCATCGGATAGTCTAAGAACAACTGGATTTGCTCTTACTCTATGGACCAATGCTTGGAGGGCTTTGGATGCTGTAGGAATTGCTGATTCTCTTAGACCACACTCTCTGCAAATACGCGGGTAAGGCAAAAAAATTGATCTGCTTATATTGCCTAGGTAGCCAATACTTTCTACCTGTATTTACTGCTTAAAAGGTAACACTCCCCCTCTCCTATGAATTTGGTTGAGCATTGATATGGGGAAAATTACCTCTTAGTCTGATTTTTGTAAAATTTGAGGATCGATCTGTTGAAGATTTATGTTACTGCTGACTGTTGGTGCAGGTTTCGTGTTGCTTCTACTGAATCAGGGCTTCCAACTTCGGAGCTATTGCTTGAGACAAACGGGAAACAGTGAGTGGAAATTTTCATGTGTAACCTTTCATAGAATTGCTTAGTTTAGGTACAATTTGGGACCATACAAATGGGCCGGACAAAAAACATTCTTTTGCATACTGTTGCAAATCATATGTGATAAGTGCTAGAAGTGCGATATTTGTAAGAAAAAAAAAGCATTCACCTGTTGGACTTCTAATAGTTTATGTAGATAATAGTCATACATACTACGACAAATAATTCCCTAATTTATTTTGGTCTTTTAGAAGGCCTTTAAAAAATTGGGGGTGAGAACTTGCATTTGATCTTCTAGATTACTAATTTCGTAAGCTATTTGAGATGACAAGTTACATATACCTTTTGAATGCATAGAATAGGTACATTATTGATAAAATTGACAATTTGTTCCAGAATTATTCTTGATTATTTATGTGAATTTTGTGTTTTTTTAGAATTGTTCTGATTTCTGAATGGTTGCTGAATTGTGAATTTCTTTTTTTTTTGGTACGATGGTAAAGATAAACAAAAACACTAAGCTTTCCTAACAAAGCTGATGTCAGCTAGATCAGCATCAATCAATCAAGTGATTTCCTCTGGGGGAGCTTCAAGCTTGAAAAACTTTTCAGTTTGAATTTTTCCTAATCACATGCATGCATGTGATGCCTTAACAATGTGTTAAAGTAGTCAAATGTATTTAAGTCACAATTAACTGGGTAAAGTGCTATTGGACCAAAACATAAAGAGGATAAAATGAAGTTTATCCAACAATTAGTGCCGTAGGGTACCATCTATTTTCCTTCTAAAACATGCTATACGGTCATCTGACAATCAGTTGCGACATGATGATGCAGTGGAGATTATGAAAGTCGTTGTGTGAGAAGGAAAGACCTGCTAGAAGTCTTGGAAAAGGAACTGCCCCAAGGCACCATCAGGTATTCTTCCAAGGTGGTTTCTATTGAAGAGTCAGGACACTTCAAACTGATCCACCTTGCAGATGGCTCCATCATTAGAACTAAGGTAACCGTTGCACCTTGCAAATAGGTCTATTTTAGTTTCCTGTTGATTTATAAGGCAACTCTTTTATTTGGTGTTTGTCAATTAACAATGGTCTCCACAACTTATGAACTCTAATATGTTCGTTATGTCTATTGACTACCTTCCTTCTGCTTCCCATTTAAGGTGTTAATCGGGTGTGATGGAGTTAATTCACTGGTGGCAAAATGGTTGGGTCTTCATAAACCAGTTAATGTCAGGAGGTCAGCAATAAGGGGACTTGTGGATTTCCCAGATGGCCATGGATTCGAGCCTAAGTTCTATGTGTTTTTTGGAGGTGGTGTCCGCTATGGTTTTCTTCCAGTCAGCGAGAAGAGCTTGTATTGGTTTTGCACTTTTAGTTCGTCTGTTGTCCAATGTAAGCCCATATGCAATCCTCAGATCCCCTTGCCTAGCCTGTATCTTCACGCATGTGTTCTCATGTTGCATCATAAATCATAACTGGTGGATCAACTTCCCTTGATATGTTCTAGCAAGTAGCAATATATATGAATACGTAATGTGATTATCTTACCGAAAGTGAAGCCAGTGGAAGTTTATGACATCAAATACAAAATACAGCATTTATAATTCACTTTTCAATGTTCCGCGTGGTTTCAATTTTGATGTATTAAAGTTGGGATCTAAGTTGTGTGCTCTGGTCAATCACAGATGGTGAAGGTATGGAAGAAAGTCCATTGAAGATGAAGCAATTTGTATTGAGCAGGATTGGCAATGTACCCAAAGAAGCGTTTGGTGTCGTGGAAAGAACTGAGCTGGAGTATATCTCCTGTGCTCCATTGAAGATGAGACCTCCATGGAATGTCTTATTGGGTAATATCGCTAAACACAATGTTTGTGTAGCTGGTGACGCGCTCCACCCCATGACCCCGGACCTTGGTCAAGGGGGCTGCTCTGCATTGGAGGACAGTGTCATTTTAGCTAGGTGTCTTGCAGAAACTTTCTCCACAAAGCCAAGAGGAGAAATCAGAGATGAAGAAAATGAAGAAGAAGAATATGAAAGGATCAACAAGGGTTTGATGAAGTACATGAAAGAGAGGAGATGGAGAAGTTTTAGTCTTATTAGTACTGCATACGTGGTGGGTTTCATTCAAGAGAGTGCTGGAATGGTGATGAAGTTCTTGAGGGAGAAATTGTTTTCTAAATACACGGCTGGGACTATGCTGAGGATGGCTGACTTTGACTGTGGAAAACTCAACTTTGCTTGAAGCAATTGAGATTCGGTTGCAATAGTTGTACGTCTTGGGATGTGAAATATTTATGTTGCCATCTTTATGGAAGATATGTTGTGTAAAAGTTAACATAGATCCGAGTTGTATGAGTTTTATTATGTTTTCAAAAATTTATTTTGGTAGCACATTTTATTTTACTTTTTAATCGATAAAAATGTTTGACATTTTAAATTTTACTTCATTTTATTATTTTTAAGATTAATGGCAACAACTACATCAAACTAACATTTATGCTTCTCAGTCAATTTTTTCATAACAAATCACTATATGAAAAAAGTGATTATTCAAATATTCTTCAACTAAATTAAAATGGGACTATTGAAATTCATATTAACACTCAATTCATCTGATTAACATTCAATAAAAATTTAATTTATTAAATCAACACCAAAGTAATATGAAAAATTATTGAATGAACATTTAGTTCATTAAATCAATACTAAATTAACATTCAACTCAACAAATTAACATTCAATTTCATCTAATAGAAATTTAATTCATCAAATTTAATATTCAAATTCAACTATTTAACATTAAATTTGTCAAATTAGCATTCAATTTTATATAATTAATATTCAATCTATCAAATTAACACAAAATTAACATTCAATTCATCAAATTAATACAAAATTAATATTTTATTCATAAAATTCACATTCAATTTCATCCAATAAATATTCAATTTTTCAAATTAACACTAAATTAACGTTCAATTCATGCGATTTATATTCAAATTCTTTTTCATCAAGTTAACATCCAAAATTATCTAATCAAAAATTAATTTATCAAATCAACATCAAAGGAATATAGAAATTCATCGAATAAAATTTGATTCATCAAATCAATACAAAACTAACATTCAATTCAACAAATTAACATTTTATTTCATCTAATAAAAATTTAATTCATCAAATTAACATTTAAATTCGTCTATTTCATATTAACTTTATCAAATTAATATTTAATTCAACAATTAATACCAAATTAATATTCAATTCATCAAATGGAGGATTACCGTCACATTTTTCCTCACCACTATTAGAAGAAGAACTAGTGAGAAAAAAAAATACTTAGAAACCAAACAAATGATATGTACGGATAAAGGGAGGGGAAGAAGGCAAAAAGAAGTGATTTGGGCGGGAAAGACGGAAAAGGGAATGGAGAGATAAGATTATTGTGGACTACATATGTCTAAAATAAATAAATAACTGGATATTAGTACAATTTGAAAATAAATAATTGTCACAAAGAAATGAAAATAATGATTTGAATATACATAATTTATGTAAAAAACTTAAGCATAAACAATCATATTAAATTTAAGCAACTCCAATGTAGAGTCGTAATGTAATTAAAATAACAATTTAGGTTCGATTGTATTGATTGACTTGGAGCATGATCGATCATGATCATGATTTAGGGCATGATTTGAGTGAATATTTGGTCGGTCGTGATTTGGATTTTTTCCTTTAGTTCTTCCCTATGGTTTGAGTTCTTCGAATGCGAAAAAATGATTGAATTAATTCAGCAATAAAGAGTAGAAGGTAGAGTTTGATTCCAATCAATTGATTTATGTGCAAGTTTGGGTTGAGTTTGTTTGAAATAGAAGCCACCTCAATACTTATAATCGTCCTAATTTTTTAATTTGTTAAGGTTAATAGTTTTAATTTTGAATTTTTGGATGAACATAAAAATTTTTATGGTTAGAGGATAAAAGTGTAATTAAGCATTGTTGAATTAAAAGGGTAAACTCACAAAAATTATACTTGAAGGGTAAAAGTGTAATTAACAAGTGTTAAATTACAACCGGTCGCCACTAGTTACGATCAATCCTAATATCTTGGGCCAAACTCGCAAAAAAATAATTAGTCATTGTTATATTATGACCGATCGCCACTAGTACAATCGGTCCTAATATCTTGAAAAAACATCATACTTAGAGAGGATAAAAGTATAAATAATAGGATAAAAGTGTTATTTACTCATTTGCTACAGGGTTAATTATTTGTTATGAATTAATCTAATTTACAATGATTAAATTAATCATGTTAACTACAATGATTAAGAATGATTAGATTAAAATTTTAGGGGATAAAATAAAAAAAATTGATAGTTAGAGGATAAAAGTATAATTAACAAATAATGTCAACCGACGTAAGCACTAGCAACCCATCCTAATTTAAAGGGTTAATATTATATTTTTATCCTTTAATTATCACAAAACTCCTTCAGTGTAGTCCAAAAAAATTTATTATTTTTAAATAGTCCCATTTTTAAGGACCAAATCAATTAAATTTTTATGGGACGAAATTATAATTATTAACATTTAAAAATGTTGTAATTAACTATTGTTGAATGTTGTAATATTTATATATTTATGGTTGGTCCTAATGTTTTGGGTTTTTTTTGACCGAAACTAAAAATTGATAAAAGTTAGAGGATAAAAGTGTTATTAACAAAAAAATAAATAAAATAGGACCCAACCGTATTGCTTTTTTTTTTTTTTTGAACAAAGAAACACAGAGAATATCATTACGTAGAAACGTTCTGATTACAATCATTAGATAAGAAAGCCTGAAGCTCGGTATCAGTAGAAGGACAACCCACCCAACTCAACAGAAGTGAGTTAGATAATGTCATAGCTGCGACCAATGAACTGTTCTATTCAAAGCCTTGGCTTGTATAAAAATCTTAAATTAAGTACCTTAGAATAATGCTTAATGTCACTGATAAAAGCATTAACTTCCCATGGAGTGGTGTCTTCGGAGGAGCTTAGTTTGATCGTCTCCAAGTTATCACTTACTACAGTAGCATCCCTTAACTCAGAAGAAGAAGCTAAAAGACAGGCTTGTCTGATAGCAGCTGCCTCAACGGAGAAACTGGACCCAGCCGAGACCCTTTTAGCAATGTCATCCACAATCAGCTCACGTGAGTCATGGAGAATCACCCCTATAGCAGCAGCACCATGCTTGAAAGCACCATCACAACGCAGAGTAGGAGCAAGATTATGGCCAGGAGGATGTCAAGGGGGCAGCTCGGCATTGGAGGACAGTGTCATTTTAGCTAGGTGTCTTGCAGAAACTTTCTCCACAAAGCTAAGAGGAGAAATCAAAGAGGAAGAATATGAAGAGAAGAATATGAAAGGATCAACAAGGGTTTGATGAAGTACATGAGAGAGAGGAGATGGAGAAGTTTTAGTCTTATTAGTACTGCTTATGTGGTGGGTTTCATTCAAGAGAGTAATGGAATGGTGATGAAGTTCTTGAGGGAGAAATTGTTTTCTAAATACAAGGCTTGGATTATGCTGAGCTTGACTGTGGAAAACTCATCATTTCTGTAAGCAAGTAGGATTCGGTTGCAATAGTAGACTTGGGATGGGGAATATTTATGTTGCCATCTTTAAGGAAGATATGTTGTGTAAAGGTTACATAGATCTGAGTTGTATGAGTTCCATTATATGAGCTGCAACTATATATCAAACTAATATCTACGATTCTTAGTCAATTTTAATATACAAATTTTTTTCATTATAATTCACCATACGAGAACAGTGAACCCTATTATTCAAATAATCACCATAGACATTCAACATTACTATACTCACTAAAGGGGAGTGATTGAATTGGTTGATCTCATTAACTTTCACTAATTATCTAGAAACTAAGCTTGTAAGGTTCCATTGACTTTTACTCATCTCTCCAATAACTTACTAGCGTTCCACGAGATATGGCTAATAAGTTAACTATGATTGTCTTGTGAAAATTATTTAATAAAAATAGATTTATAGTTGTAAATTAAAATTGAATTTTTGGTTGATTTTGAAATTAAATGAAGGTGGGACCTGCTTGTCGTTTCTGAGTAAATTTTTGTAAATTCGTGTTTTACTCTGTGAGTAGAATATCAATTGTTGAATCCAAAATATATAGAGAAAAATGAACCCTAGGAATCCTATTCAATTTTTTTCTCTCTTCCTCGTCATAAGATTTGATATATCCATTATTCTCTAACAGTTGAATAGTATCCCTTCAAGTCATTCAAGCTCTCTTGCTCCTATCTTTGTATAAATTTTCAGAATCATTGAACCACTTGGATTTGTAAAGTCGATATGCAGATAAACTATTATTCCAATCATTGCCACTTAATTTTTTCTTGCTGAAATTAGGTGGAAGTTAGGCATGGGTGTTTTTGCAGCCAATGATTCTCATTCATTGCCGTTTTAATTTTCCCAACAGATCCATGGACTTTTCAATAAGTTTATTCATGGCCTTGCTTGTCGGTGTTCTCATCACATGGCCAGTTTTATTAAATGGGAAGATGGAATATATACAGCTCGATCTTTTTTTTATACTTTGTAGTATAAGACATTTTGCATCTTTCTTCAGCCAGACACCGGGAAATAGGGGAAGAACTGGCAAACTATATAGAATTATTACGACGGTGCCAACCAATTGATCAATCAAACACCGGAAAAAAGTAGTTGGAAAAACATTTGAAAAAATTTTAATTGCTTGTGTTCTCCCATTGATCAACATTTTAGTTGAATGTTCGTGACGAGGAAAACTCATCTGTAAAGATGTAATGTACATACTTAAAAACTGTTGTATATATTGATTTTTATATATTATCAATCAGCTACATGAGGAATCCTAAATACCCAAATGGATGTTTAACCTTAGGCTAAAACTAATGCCCCATTATAATTTTTTTTGGTTACAGGGTGTTCAAACTTGCGCCGACTACTATCTGAAGTTTTAAGTTTGGCCCATTAAAATTTAAATCTGTTGTGAAAAGGTGGGTTGTAGTAGATCCAGTTAGATTATAATCCATCAGAGTATTATGTTTTCGGATAAAAAAGTAGAAACTGCCCAACTTTGGATCTCATTCTCTGCATATCAGCATATTATTAATACCACTAGACCTGGGAAGTAAAGTAATATAAGCCCACAGTCTAATGTCAAATACATGTGCTTGACACATTAGAACAATGGGGTTGTATCATATAATAAGGTCAAAGGGAGCCATGTGAGGTTCTATGAGATGATTTGAAGCAAAATATTCTATTACACAAGGCATTGAAAATTATGTATTTTCCTTCATATTGCAACAACCGTCACATTAAATTTTTGGGTGGTTTAGTGGTTGAGTTTGGTTTTTAATAACCTAGATGTTTTAAGTTCAATTTCTTTCTATACTCCCTAAGACTAGCCATTTTATTCTTTTAAGATAGGTTATAACCCAACTTAAATTACGGTGGTCAACCATTGAATTTGAAGGATTAATATACACAAGCTTAGAGCCAAAAAAACAACAACAACAACTGTCACATTAAAAACAAAGTGAAAAATGAACAAGTGGGTGTGTGTTTTCTGATCCATTCACGGCTCTTCTGTTGGGAAAACCATGTGGGTGTGGACGGAATAGTAAGAGAACGTGGGATGATTGAATGAGATTCAGAATTCTTCAGTCTTTCAGAGATAATGGACTTAAAAAAAATGGTTTCAATTCTCTCTCCTCAGATCACATGTGAGGCGGTTGCATTAGAGAAGTCTGGTCCCTATTTATATAACAGTTTCTTGGTGCTTGGCAAAACCAATTGTTCGTCCTCCTCCAGCTTTATTACCCTGTTCTACACAATCGTAGTCCTAAATAGAAATGGCGAAAACTGGCACTCTTATCCTGGCCATTTTAGTTGGCATCTGTTGTTTTTCTCCCAATGTCAATGCGTTCACGGCTTCCGGGTGGACAAGTGCTAGTGCTACTTTTTATGGAGGTAGCGACGGTTCTGGGACAATGGGTACGTAACTCTTCGATTTCTTAAGAAATGCTATTTTTTGAAAAAATAAAAAATAAAAAAGGTTTTGATTACAAATAGATCAAAGCTAACAAAGAACTGATTCTCAAGCTTTAACAAATGACCTGGTTTGGTTGGCCACAGGGGGTGCTTGTGGGTATGGCAACTTGTACTCGACTGGGTATGGGACTAGGACTGCAGCTTTGAGCACTGCATTGTTCAATGGTGGAGCGTCTTGTGGACAATGCTACAGGATCGTATGCGATTACAAAGCAGACCCGCAATGGTGCATAAAAGGAACATCTGTGACGATTACTGCAACAAACTTTTGCCCACCAAATTATGATCTTCCAAGCGATAATGGAGGCTGGTGCAACCCACCCCGCCAGCATTTTGACATGGCTCAACCCGCCTGGGAAAAGATCGGCATTTACAAAGGCGGTATCGTCCCCGTGCTATACCAAAGGTTTAAATCTTTACAACAATCTCTGGATTTCTATCACTTAGATTTATTATGAACATATGGATTATAACTTTGTACTTTTGCATTGTTCAGGGTCCCTTGCAAGAAACATGGTGGAGTGAGATTCACTATTAATGGGAGAGATTACTTTGAACTTGTCCTGATCAGCAATGTGGCAGGAGCAGGATCTATTCAATCGGTTCAAATAAAAGGGTCGGGAACTAACTGGATGCCAATGTCTCTGAACTGGGGCGCCAATTGGCAGTCCAATGCATATCTCAATGGGCAATCTCTATCCTTCATGGTGACTCTTACTGATGGAGAGATGAAAGTTTTTCAAGATATAGCCCCATCTAATTGGGCATTTGGCCAGACATTCTCAAGCCCAGTACAATTCTAAGCTAATATTATAGTTTTTGGGTTTTGGGTTTCGGGTTTTTGTTAGGCTGAGGCGCGCTTACTATTTGATTTAGGCAGCCCGCCAATTCTTTTGCATTTTACAATACTTTCTGGTGGTAAAGAGGAAGAGAAAAGTTTGTGTTGTGTTGATGGTTGAGATGGGAATGGGATACACACATGAACTATGTGAATGTAGACATTACTTTTCATGTGTCTTGAAGACGACTGCATTGATAAGAAGCTTGTTTAGCTTCATAATATTTTTTTTTTTTTTTTGCAAATTTTGCTTTAATGCTTGTAATATGGATACTCTCACAACATACATATTTATCAGTTTGAGCCTATATATATATATATATATATATATACACTCTCTTTCTCTCTCTCTCTCTCTCTCTCTCTCTCACACACACACACACACACACACATATCATATATTCAAGTACTTTGCATCTTCATTTAAGCTAAAAAGAAGCTTTCATCAAACGAAAGTCTAGTCAATGAGATTACTCAGAGTCTTGCGTGGATAATTTACTTAAGGAGTAATTTACAATTTTCTCCCTAATAGATTAAACAACCAAATTCTCACTTTTAATTAATCCTTAACTATAAATTCCGGTGATCCCTCGGACAATAGCTCCCTTTCAAGACATCTCAAAGAAATTGTCACCTGAACATTAGGGAATTCATCACTTGTTGTACACAAAACTAGATATAAAATTAGAGATGGTTAATGATTGAAATAAATTGGAACAATAATCGGAAGTTGAATTGGGGCTTGGTTGAACATTAGGGGAATAAACTGTAATTAACCTTTATTCCTTCCGAGGCTGGGATGGTTTTAAATTGGACCACCCATGGTTTTCTAAAGCAGTCCACGATTAACCAAGATAACTTTGCAAGGCTACATACACTATCTTTTTTATTCGGCATGCAAATATATTTTTACATGGGAATGAAATCAACAGGGGAATGAGATGGAATGTCTATTACCATTTTAATATTCCACAAAAACTAGCATTAATAGTTTTGAAAATCAATTCAAATTATAGGATGAATCAAAATATTTACTTAATTAAATTAATTTTGAGTGAAGTATTCTTATTGACTTCAAAATAACATAGCTATATTTGATGCCTTACCTTCGAATTTTAGGCTAAGACCAAGCCCTGGCCCAAACCCTGGACGTTGGACCCAGACAAGGGCTGAACCCACGATCACGGCTTGGACTCTGAACCTGGACCTAGGCCCAACCCATAATCCTGACCTAGACAAGGACCTTGAACCCAGACCCGACCTTGGACCCTAAACCCGGACTTGAACTATTCAGGCTCAGACCCGTAATTCAACCCTAACCCTAGACTCATGGATCTGAACACAGAACCTGCCCTCGAACCTAGGCTAGGACCAGAACCCGACCTCTGATTAACACGTAAGAGTAGGACCTTAGGCCAAGACTTTGAACCCGCATCTCAAACTCGAACCCGAATCCCAAACTCGAATTTGGTCCCAGACCCCCAAACCCTACTTCTAAACTTGGACCTAGACTTGACCCTAGGCCCTTGAGCCTGAGCACCAAAACGGTCTCAACCTTGGCCACAAACCGTGCATCGAGCCTGGACTTAAACCCGACCTCAGACCCAACCCAAATTGGAGGTTGAGGTGGGGTGGTTGGGTTGACGATGGTAGTTGCTAGTGATAACGACGTGTGAAATAGAAAATACCGTCTCATAATAAGGGATAAAAAAATTCTACATTTGTGGGATTAAGTATTTTATGGTAATACAAAAAATTTTTATAACATAATAAATATTGGAATGGGTAATTACTTAATAATAGTTATTCCATTGTCATGTTTCATTACCACCTATCTAACATTAAGTTATATAGTTTTCGCGTTTAATGTGAATTTTGGAGAAATATAATAGGCCATTTCACGGTGTTTTTGATGTCCTAATCTAAGTATCTAACGGTCATATTTGATAAAAATATTTAATGCAATGGCAATGTCGCATTATTATTAATATTTGATGTCACTATTTCAATAACTAACAATAATCAACACATCCAATATTAGAATAGTAAACTTTACTAAGTTTACATGATGTTTTATTATTGGTTAATTAGTGATATCCCATGTCAATAATTGCATGCAAGATTAGTGGAAAACCTATAGGGTGCAACCACTGTTGCACAAACAAACGAGAATCATTAGATGGTGGGTTGACCATGCTCCATTAAATTACAGAGGCCTCAAATAAACAATAATCAATTGCATTTCCCATCTAGGGAAGGCCTCCATTTTTATTTCAGACAGCTGCAGCCCATCAAACCCAGGCAAATATTCAGGGATATGTATATTACAAGTAGTTGTAGAAATGGGCAAAAAGTTTAGTATTTGATGAAGTCCATATAAGAGATTTTGCTTTTCTTTCATCATTTTGGGGGTTGCATGCTGCTTATTACATGGCTGTTATGGTTTATTAACTTTTGAGCAGTTAAGAGGATAGGCACTGAACCAGAAAAATAGAGTCAAGCACTGAGTATGTCACAATAACTTTATTGGTTCAACCCTCTCCACCAATTAGCTAGCCAGATTCTCTTTCCTATGGTTGGTAGGGTGACTCCGGTTGTCTAACAAAAAGGCATTTGATTGCTTAGTAATGAGTCAAACCTAAAAGAAATGGGTGTGCTGGTAATTCTGTTCAGGCCAATCACTTAAAATTGTCTTTGGGAATGTCATGCGGATGTGAAATATGCAGGTGGGTAATGTTATTCTTATACCAATTTTACTAAGATGCCGCCCAGGGCGATAGGGGGACCAATGCACGGTACGAGTACATAGAAGTTTTTTGTTTGATCTCGTCCCAACTCACAGGCTATCGCATCTCCTTTCTTTATATCACTGAAATTTTTTCCCTTACATGTGATTACCAATCGCCAACTTTGTTTTATCCACATGGACCATCAATTTGTAATGGCTAATCCTATAAAACTTCGCTTGGAGGAAGCAAAGTTGACGTGCTTCTGGCAGAGAATAAAATATGTTCATGCCTCGTCCTCTTCTGAGAATACTTCAACAACTCTACCACGCTCTCTAACTGTTCTAGCTCACCAAATTTTCTAAACAAATATATCCTATGTCAATAACGTCTCTCTGTCCCCCTCTTCCTCTTTCTCTCCCGAAATCTTCACTACAAATAACGCTTCTACCTCTCTAGCTTTCAAGTTGATTTGGCACAAGAAAGAAAATTCAGAGCGCTTCAACCATGGTTGCCAACAATTTAGCACTAGCATTTGCCCTTCTTTTGTTTTCAATTTCCCCTCCTGTGAGATCACTGAGCTTGAACTACTATGACCAGACATGCCCAAAGGCCGAGTCTACTGTTACCAATGTTGTGCAGAAAGCCATGATGAATGACAAAACAGTTCCTGCGGCACTACTTCGGATGCAGTTCCATGACTGCTTCATCAGAGTAATCTTTTATAAACTCTCTCTCTCTCTCTCTCTCTCTCTCAAACTAATTAAGTTCGAATGATACTTATTATTTTCATCCCTTCACTTGGTTTTTATTGCATTTACGTTTGTTTTTGAAGGGTTGTGATGGTTCTGTGCTACTGAATTCAACGAGGAAGAACCAGGCTGAGAAAGATGGGCCTCCCAACATTTCATTGCATGCATTTTATGTCATTGACGTTGCTAAAAAGCAAGTAGAGGCTTTGTGCCCTGGCGTTGTCTCTTGTGCTGATATTTTGGCTCTAGCTGCAAGGGATGCAGTCGCCCTGGTAAGTAATAGTAGTAGTTACAGAAAGCAAAACACTAATTCAACAAAGCACAAACTCTAAAATGACACAATCAATTACCGAATAATATATAAGATTAGTATTAGGTATGAATAATAACTTGGTATAATTAGCAAATTTGAACTCTGGTCAATCAACTTAATCACCTCAGTGAAGTTGTTGCAACTATTCCACTTCTGTTGTGGACAAGGGGATTGACTAATTGTTTTAATCATTTTCTTGTGGTATAGTCTGGAGGTCCCACTTGGGAAGTGCCCAATGGTAGAAAAGATGGAAGGATTTCAATAGCAAATGAAACCAGCCAACTACCAGCTCCCACCTTCAACATATCGCAACTTCAGCAAAGCTTCTCCCAGAGAGGTCTTTCAATGGATGATTTCGTAGCACTTTCAGGTGAGCATAAAATAAAAATACCAATTTCTTACTGATTTAGCATTGCCCATATAGTCACTATTTATACATATAAGGTTGGTAGTTTATGTAGGATGACCATCTTACCTTAATTTATGTAGGAGGGCACACTCTTGGGTTTGCTCATTGTTCATCCTTCCAAAATCGGATCCACAACTTTGATACTACGCAGGATATCGATCCATCAATGCAACAATCCTTTGCAGCCAACCTACGCAACACTTGCCCGATGCACAACAAGGTGAACAATGCTGGCGCCAACCTCGATTCTACTCCGACTGCGTTCGACAATGTTTACTACAAGTTACTTCTCCAGGGAAAGAGTTTGCTCACTTCTGATCAAGCTTTACTTACTAACATAAGGACTAAAGCTTTGGCTTCCAAGTTTGCTAGCTCGCAAGAAGAGTTTTATCAAGCTTTTGTGAAGTCCATGATCAAGATGAGTAGTATCACAGGTGGACAAGAGGTTAGGCTAGATTGTAGAGTGGTTAATTAGGTAAAGCCAAATTGAATTTATACATGATCAAGGACATATATTATGTTGAGGATTTGAAGCAATAAGGGTGAAAAATGTGAGTTTGTGTGCTTATGTAGACACCATCAAAAAATGTTCAGGCAAGCGTGTTGTAGCTGAAATAATGTTTGTGTGTCGATTCAGAAGTATAGTTAGTGAGAACAATCCACATCCCATGGTAAGGCTGTTCTTTTTGTAATTTGAGTGTTACAGGTTTGTGTCATTAGAACAATTTTTTTAACATATATAAGTAAGATTGTGCAAATCTAATATTCTCAAACTGCCGCAGTGGTGAGAGACTCTCTATGTTGTAATCTATCTTTTAGTTGTGTTTCATTACAAATTCTCCTTTTTCATTAAAAGAAAATTCATTTTAAGCTAAAGCATTAACAAATAAAAATTGTTTGGGTATAATGTACCAGAAGTTCCTATATATAACACTCGAAGAAAATGAAAGCGATTGAGGTACAACCTGTAAAATCAATTAAAAACTTTTATGTCCTCAGAAAATATCGGGGGGGAAAGGAAGCTATATTGATAGGATGATGGATTGAGGTACTATATCGAAAGTTATAATGTTTAAAATTAGGTTATAGTCAGTCTAAGTTACGATTCATAGAGTTATAATCGATCATAAAATATTAGAGACAATAATAAAAAATTTAATTTTTAAAGGTGTAGTTATAACTAATTATAATTAATTATAATATTTTAGAATAATTTAAAAAGATTAGATAGAAGGTTTACTTTGAATTAGGGGTGCCCATAAGTCAAATTGGTTCCCAGGACTTGTTACTTGACCTAAAAAAATAGGTTTAAAATTTGATAGGCCGGATAGTTGGTTTGTTCGAGTTCGAGTCTAAGTCCAATATCTTTAAAAAGAAGACTTGGACTTGCCCACAAATCCATTATCCCGCCCAATAATCCACTCATAAAAACCAATTAAAACCTGGCCCGAGAACTTGCCCACCCCACCCCAAGTCGCCTGCCCGCCCACCCACCCATTTTTGTTTGAAAAAAAAAAATCATTAAAAGTTAGGTGACATATTCCTCTTAAAAATAAATTTATTTACTTAAATATTACATCGAGTAATTTAGGGTATTATTCGTTATTCATTATTTACTTAAATATTAAATAATTCTTCTCAAATAAAATTATTTATTATTTATTTTTTATCTAATTTGACTATACTTTTAATTAAAAAATATAATTTATAAAAATATTAATTTTAAAATTTTTTAAATGAAGATGTATACACGTATATATAAAAAGACTATCCCCCAGCAGGTCTTCCCGGAAGGCCTGTCTAATGAGTGCACGAGATGTGGGTTGCGAGTAGCCTATTTTTATCCAAAGGTTGGCCGTTCAATAATGTATCCGAATAAGAGTTTAGACCTAGCCTACCTAAATTCAACCCAAAAAAACATTTTACGGGCCTAACCTTGCCCGGCCCATGAACGCCCTACGTTTAGTTAATGAAGAAGGTGAAGGGCTCAACTGTGAGTAACGACTAGTTTTAAGGGCTCGATTGAAATTATTTATATAGTTTGAGGGTTAAATAGTTAATCCCACTTCCTAATGAATAGTAAAGATGATAATAAGCAGAAAGTTTTTAGGGGCAGAACAGAGAGATTTGCAATCGTATCCACCGTCCGTTGGATTCTCAATTCGATGAATGAGAAAATCGTCGACGACACGAACAGCCGCCAAGGCGCAGACCAAAACAACGATCGAACTGCCCATTCTGGGTCTTGTTCTTCTTCCAAGTCAAGTCCAACACAACCACAACCAGAATATTCAGTTACAGAAGATGAAGAGTTAAAGAGACTACTACTGCCCAATGTCCACGACCTTCCTCTCACTCCACCTTCTGCTATTCAATCCAACTTCGTCACTTACTTCGCTCCTGGTAAAAAACCCGTATTACTCTGCTTTGCTGATCACAAAATATTGGACAAACATTCTAAAAACTCACTCTTTTGAGTTGGGTTTTCATTTTGATTTTCTCGAATTTTCTCAGATTTTATGAAACCTGGACACGATCAGTATGTTCATCGGCACCCCAATGGGTATGATTGTGTTTCTCTTGTAGTATATATGTGCGTGTTCTTTGTTTTCGGATAAAAATAATTGTAGATTTTGATATTTTTTATTTTATATGTGATTGAAAGCTTGTGTGTAATTGGGTTGGCTCCGACACACGTGGCTTTTAAGGATAAAGGAGGAATTACAGACGTAGATTTCAATATAGGCAAGTCTGATCGGAGTGGGATTAAGGTCACCGGAAAGCGCAAGAAGGTAAACTTCTGGGATTTTTTTCTTCTTCCCTTTCCACTACGATTTGGATATATTGGAAATTGTAAGTAAAGAAATCGGTTGGGTCGGTGTGATATGTAGAATGAGTTTTAAAAACTATGTGATTGCTGATATTAGTTCACTTTCTATAAGGTTTCTGTGGTGTTGATTTTGTGCCCATACAGGTCTGTATTTTCAAGCTAATTAAGCAGTTTGATTTGAGTCAAAGACCATTTTTTGCATTGGAAGATTAAAATTTTGGTTATCATTATGCACTGCACTACCAAATAGGTCTTAGGAATTAAGAGCACATCAAGTTTCTTGTACTTTAATCGTTGTTGCATTTTGCTCTGTGAATGAATAACAATGTGGTGTGCATCAAGGTTGATGCTTTTAATACATTTTGTAGCATTTGACTTGATGATTACGACAATAGTTAGCTTTTTTTTGAAACGTCCTTATGCAGAATGCACAACATTTTGAGTCGAACACAGCATTGTGTAAAGTATGCACAAGTGATGATTCTTATATAGTGAGGTACCATTTTCCTTCTTTCTCTCTTCTCACGTCAGGAGCTTTCATTTCTTTTGAAGTTCAATACTAAAGGTATGGCGAATTTGACAGGTGCTGTGTAAAAGGCTCTCTATTGGAAGTCAATGAGGGGCTAATCAAGAAACCAGAACTGCTTAATTTATCGGTAGGAATAAGCATCATGTCTGTTCTTTAATTTACAATCACTACTCTTTTTCGTTTTGATCGTTCAAGCTCTTTATGCTCCAAATTATCTTACTGTCACTTCAAATATTTCCATAAGCATTTTTTGAATTGTTCCCCATTTCTACAGAAAAATTGTGATAAAGCATATGTAGTAAGAAGTATTGTTGTATGCATGTTTTTTTTTTTTTTTAAAATTTTAATTTCAGCTTATTTGTTGACTTTTCTTAAAGGAAATGGCTCACTATTGTTTATCACATTAATCAAGAGCAGTTTCAGTTTTGACATTTACACTTTTGTCTTGGGATAATAAGAAGTTAATCTATACTTCAGTTTGCTAATATGGCTGCTGTTTAGTTGTAGACAGTGGAAAACCTTGGGTAATAAGGGGATGGAAAGTGACTGTTTTATGACCTATTAGTCCATAGGCTAATCAAAAGTATATCTGATTTGCAAAAATACAAAGCAAAGTATTGCTGGTACTAGTAAGGTTTCTGTTCTCCTATGCTCTGTTATTCATTTAAGGGAAACATGGTTGGCTGCTTGTCCTTTCTCTAGCAATTTAATGATGGGCCTTACTAGTTTCTTCCTGCTATAAAAATCAATCATATAGCAGCTGACGGTTTGGTGTTTATACTTGATAATTTAGAATTTAGATCTTTGTTGCCTTTCATGTTCTCAAAGGATAATCAGTTTGCAAAGTTAGTTTTGTCATTTGTTATGGTAACATGTTTTACTCACTGTGGAAAGGATATTGGTATTAGGATTCTATGAACCAACTATCAGATTTTGTTAGGGGGAAGAATGGTATAATTTCTTCAAAATTGGAATATATTAAACCAATGTGTCAATTGAGATGCCAATTTTTATCACGCAGCACAGAAAACATAGTTTCATCATTGTCTTGAGTTAATATTGATATTTATGAAGGCTTTGGCCCAAATAAATCAGTTAAAGGTGTTTCTAGGTGTGTAATATTTCTTGTGCAAGGCTGGTAGCATCAACTCCCGGCTGACCGTGTTTGTAGGTGTGGAATATTTCTAGCTGTGCTAGTATGAATTGAAAATTTGTATTTCTCTTTCTTGTTTCCGTGGAAGATGGCCATTGAGTCTCTGGCAGTGAGGAATGTTAATCTAATCCTGGAATACGCTCCATGACTCTACACCATATGCTTCTGTTCCCCAGCCTTACCTTTCTCCCCAGTGCATGTGGTATGAACTCTAAATAGTAGAGCTTAATATCTTTCTATCCCATTAAACTTTTTGGTAATTTCATCTGTGAAAAAGAAGAATCTGAACAGGGCATTATTTGTTACATACTCCTTGAATTAATTTTTTTTTTTTTCAAGAGAAATATAAAGTGTGACTTCTTGTGCTTTGAATTGCAGGCCGAGAGAGAAGGATACATTGCAATAATCATGCCAAAACCTGCGGATTGGCATAAGATCAAGGCTTCTTTACTGGGTTTTGAAGAGTTCCAGAAGTTGAGAGAAGCTGACTGACTCTCTTCGCAATGCATGCTCTGGGAATACCATCTTTCAGCTTATAACATATATTGTTTGGTCTGTGATGGTTTTACTTCTCTGGATTGCAGAAAGAAGAGATTTTGTTTACATTCGAATGATATGATAGATTTCAAATTTATTCATAACAAGAAGCTTGTATTGATTATGAATAAATTTAAGCTTGAGAAGCCTAGGGCTGAAGATGATTCGTAATTTTTAATGAAGATGGACTATTACTGCACATTTCTTCATGTGATTCTTTTGTTCTATGCCCTGTCATTTTAAAACTATTATGCAAATTATTTATGTCATTGAAAAAGGATGAAATTATCAAAAAAAATCATTGTAACTGGACGTAAAAATTACTACCAAGCATAACTAAAGTAAGCTATATATTGTTGTAAATCGTAACTAAGTTCAATTGGATCACTATACAATTAAATCTGGACAAACTATTATCATAATAAAACACAGATGGATTAATATGGTAATGAAACAGAGAACACATCGATAGAAAGTACAAAACCTTCGAGAAGAGGGACATTAAAAATCAATCTGTAGCTAGACCCGGTATTAAATTAATTCAATCCACATATAAACAAAGTTAGTTTTTACTCAAAAAAAAAAAAAGTATTTTCCTTCATTAGAACGAAAAATGAAGTTTCAACATCATTTGGTATGGATGGAACTTATCAATGCACCTTGTATTTACAACTTCAATGAATGAGCATTCATGATCTTTCTATGAGTGCTGTCATAGTCTAGGATCCCTATTGTCACCTCCACTTCGATAATCTCCTCTTCATTTCGATTTTTGCACCATTATTTCTTGTACTAGTAGCTTCCTTGATCTGTTTATGGTGAGAAAACACAAGTATATATGCTCCTCAAGCTCTTCTAACTGCTCCAAAAAGCGGCTTTCATTGTTCCGAAAATCCTTGACAACCTCCTTCAACACCTCATTGTTTCCATTTCTAACACACATATCAGCCATGGCTCTGCTGTGTTCTATCTCATCGTATAATCTCCTCACAAGCCGACTCATTGTATCAAAATCATTGATCAGTATATAAACCCCTTTTGCTGCAACATCAAGCTGAGCATCCAATTCCAATCTTTCAGGCGTGATTGTCTTCCTCCGCTTCTTAAGTAACCCTAAAGAGCAAGCAATCAACCCTAGAGCGGCAATAGTACCAACCATGCTATGAACAGCAAGAACAAACAAGGTAATTGCTAGGGCACTGTAAGCAACTACAAGGACACTCCCCACAACCTTTTTGTAACATTTGATCAACCTTGTTCTTCGTCTAATCTTCTGGCATTTTGCCGTTAATCTATGAAACAATAAACTGTGTCTGTCATGAATATCACCCAATTGCCCTGGGCTAAGAGTTGATAAAGGGTTCTTAATCAATGCAAATGAAGCAAGTTCTGCAAATATATCATGACAATTATCGTCAATGTCGTCCTCGTGCACTGGGCTACTCTTATCTACTCTCTGGGTTAGTTTCAGTACCCTTTCGATTATTTGATAGTTACTTCGTGTTTGATGGATGCTTAAGAGAAGAGATTCACATATTTTGCACGCTTCTAAGCTAGCTTCGAAGTAATTAACGAAGAGGTGATGAAGATTCGAGCCTTCAAGCATGGCGATTAGGGTTTCTTGACGTGGTTCAAGCAAAAATTCGGAGAGGTGAAAATACAAAGGAACAGACGATGGTGAGGATAATTTATCTATGGTTTTTGTTTCCAGCTGTCCCTGCACTTTGCAGCAAATGTCTATGTAAGACTTCGTTCTTAAGGCTTCCCTATATTCTGTATTGACGTTTGACTTGTTCATCAAGCTATCCACTCGTTCTTTGCGATATCTACCTGAAAACAAACACCATGAATCAAATCAAGAAACTAGGACTTGACTGAACATATCAAAGTTTGCCAATAACATTTGTTCCATTTACTATCAGATTCCGATCTTGAAAACCCAAGAATAGACATTTTGAAGTACATACAGAAAAAGGTCTAAAACCTCAACGTAGCTCAAGTGGTAAGAAAACAAGTCTTGTTGAATGTAAATTTTTTCTGACAAATCTATGATCTATTTAGTCGGGAGCCAGCTAGAAAACCCATGAAAAAAAAAAAGTGTTGGAAATAAACTAAGAATCAAAACCCATTACAGATATGTTCAAGGTCGAAGAAACCCTTAACCCAGTTTGTTTAACAAAACGAAGAACTATGGGAACTAAGTTAGAAGAGGGAGAGCAAGATTTTGATACCTGCTGTTGTAAATGGCAATTTCAAGTTAGACCACACCATGTTTTTCATCTGGGATTATGTGTCAAGAAGGAGAGAATGAAAGAAACCTGTTTTCCAAAGCAATCCTGGTTATATATAAATTGTGTGTTAGATTAAGAACAAAGTTGAAGATTTGGAACGCTCGGCAAGAAATTGTAGACGATAAGACAAAGAAACCAGGTTAGGCTGTCGGCACCGCCTCAATTGGTTATGGCCCTTTTTACCACCCGTTAGCGTGCGAGGGACGTTGTGTTTCTAATTACATGCACAGCTTTTAGGGGGAAGAAATACCGACTTTACTCTTTGTACAGTGGGAATAAATGGACGAAATAATCATCTAATTAATAATCTGATCTAATATATCAACTTCTGTTTGTATACTTACTTGTTCGTGTTCGTAGAGTCATGAATTTCAATATTTAATGATGTTTATTATTATTTTAAATATAATTATAAGTTAATTATATTAATAAATAAACTAATCTCTGATCTGATAGATCAAACAATTCACATTTATTAATCATGCTATTTGTTTTTTCAAACGTGTTAAATTATAATCTGATAGGATCAGCTTGAAACTTATCTAAAAACAATAATGTTATACTGACTAAATTTTGGAATTAAATTTGGAGCTCGAATGACTTGGCAGCATATTATTTGGAATTCTTATTGGACCCTAAATAATAAAATCCAAGTCAACTGTTATGTCATTTGAACTCTAAATTTGGTCACAAAATTTAGTCAGTGTAGCATTTCTCATCTAAAAAAGTTTGATCACAACAACGTTAATCCCAAGTTATTGCGTTTTTTTTTTCACTTTTTTTGGGTACGGTATTGAATTTGAAATCATAAGCTTACCCAATACATATTTCATCCCTTGGGATGTTTTAAGATGTTACGTTTATTCATTGAGGTAAAGATGGTAGGTATTATGGAGAAGATGACAAATTCTGCTTGTAATTATTGGTGCCATTTTTGTAGATGACTTGCACGAACTGTGTACCAGAGCCAGAGTGGCTGATAATTAATGTGACCCATTGCTTCTCCATCTAAAACGTCTTTGCTTTCACTTCTTCATCACTAGTTGTGGACGCGTTGCATATAAAGATTTAAGCACCAGAAGAAATGTGGTAATCATAAACAATTTTGCTATAACAAAGATAAATTATAAATTCACGCGTCCTCAAATTGAAACTTGATAACTCCTTGAAACCAAATCATATTATTTATCCTTTATAAATATTCTAATTCCTGTTTAGATGATTTAACTTTGACCGGTCTAAAAAGAAAATTAGTCGATGTGAACGTTACCGGATTCGGACACTTTTAACAGTTGAAATAAAAATAATAATAAAAAGTGAGCAATACTATTTAAACTTAATATAATTGATCTAATGAGTACTACCATTTGATTGTCGGTGAATCTCTATATTAGTTAGACCTACAACTAATTCAATGATTATTATACATTAAATCAAACAATTAAGTTTAAACAACATTTTTCTTCAAAGTTTATGCGGTGATTCTATTTCCTTGGCTGGTGTGGACGTATGTGTTGGGTTTGGGGTATGGCTGTCCAAAGGCTGAACCCTCTAGTACAGGTTGGGTTTCTGTTCAGCCCAAAACCTTGGGCCATACGGCTATTTATTGGGCGTGATGGACTGTGCAGCAATTTTTCTGGTCCGTGAATTACCGATATAAGAATGGATTTTTTGGGTGTCGGTATAATTTTTTAGACTTATTTGAACAAAAGTATATGAATAAATTATTTACTTTATTAAGTACAATTTTTATAAAATTTTTTGTGTTTAGGTACAAAATTCAAATGAATTAAAAACTTTTTTACCTAAACACCCTCCCTTAAATTATACAGTTATCATTGATAGTTATTTGAGGAAATAAATATGTAAAGATTAACAGTAGTAATGGAAGATAAAATATGGGCATTAATAGAATAAATTGTTTACTCTATTAAGTATAATTTTTATAAAATTTTTTGTGTTTAGGAACAAAATTCAAATGAATTAAAAACTTTTTTATCTAAACACTATTCCTTAAATTATGCAGTTATCATTTATAGTTATTTGAGGAAACAAATATGTAAAGATTAACAATAGTAATGGAAGATAAAATATGGGCATTAATGATCAAAACCCTTCTTCTTCGGCAATGGGATTTGATTAGAATGCCACAAATTGTGTGTGAATAAACACTGAATTTTTCCAAAAAAAAAAAAGAGAGATTAGTCAAGATGTTTTGTTAGATATTATGTATTATTCGTTATTAGAATGTAGGAAAAATTAACTTTTTGTTTTTTTTAATGAGTGTAACTATTTTTTTAATGGTTGTAACTGTTTTTTAATATGTAATTATTTTTTTATGGGTGTAACTGTTTTTTAATAGGTGTAACTATTTTTTTAATGGATGTAACTTTTTTTTTAATAGGTGTAACAATCACAGTCTCATTCAATTGTTAAAATATAATGGTGTAACGATGTTACGATACTAAATGGTGCAACTATTTAGTTATGTAAACAACTGAATGATAAATTAAGTTGGTGTCATAATTTTGTGTAACTGTTTGGTTTATTAGAACTCATGAGTAACTGTTTGGTGTATTATAGGACAATTATGACTAATTGATGTAACTGATTAGTATAATTGTGCTGTTGAAATATTAATATAAATAAATTAAGTGAAAATAGGGAGAGAGAGAGAAAAAAAATTGTTAGAAAAAATATACCCTTATTTTACCTCTTATTGCTTGATTGTATCCAAAATATATGGAAGGAATACAAAGAGTTTTAACTTATAAGCTATTACTGAACGACAATATTGTTATTTTTTAAAAATATGTACTTTAACCCAAATAAGATTTTATGTTATATTTTTACTCAAATAAATCTAAAACTTTTATCGACCTCTAAATCACCCTATAAGAATAATGTTACTTAAATTGATTCACCAATCGAATTCATTATTCATCAGTTAATAATCAATCATCCAAATAACACTATTCCAAGAACAAAATTTTTTGTGATGATCTCTAATGCTCCGTTTGGTAGGAAGGATGAAAAGTATAAGTGATACACTTTCTATCCTTCAAGGATGGAAATTAGAAATGATACACTTTCCTTTTTTTTTGTATATGGTTGGATGAATGAAAAATAAAAATGACTAATTTTTTTTTAACTAGTTAAGATTAGGGATGACAATCGAATCGTGTCGTGTTAGATTCATGTTAAGTCATAAAATTATAAGCCTTTTAAATTTTTTGTTTACATGTCAGGTCATTTTCAAGTTCATGTCGAATCATAATCAAGTTCGTGTCATAAAATTTATATCGAATTTGAGTTGTGTCATCGTATTGAATCGAAAATTTTCACTCTTAGTTAAAATGAAAAAAATATTTTTTTTAATTTCAAATTTTAATTTTATTTTAATTTATTTCTTTATTTTATATATATAAATACATATTTTATCATTGTAATTTGTATATGAAATTAATGTATACATAATATATAGACAAATAAGATACATCTCAACACAAATAATTAATTTTTCATCCACTTTTCGTCGGATTTTGGAGGGATTGATTTTAGTGAGTTGGAAGAAAAATTAATTTATCCACTTTTTCATCCTTCTTATTTTCCTTTATTACCAAACATGATGTTTTATTTATTCCTCCAACTTTCCACCCATCCAACTTTTCATCTTTCTATTTTTCTATTATACCAAACGGAGCACAAAACAAGCTTGAACTTAGGGGTTCAATTTTTACCAGTGGTAATACTGGTTTCTTCAATATAATAATTTATGAGTAGTAAATTTAATATCCTGAGTTCAAATCTTAACAACTCTTTGAAATTAGGTTATGAAAAATTTATCTCTCATGAATAATCTAGTCCCGGCGTAGATTACCTGCATTTGACCAGATCGGAGAGGGAATTAGTTGATGTGGGCAAAAATTGGTCACAACATCCTTGACCGTTAAACTAAAAAAAATATATAATAATTATTCATCACTGTATATAAAAAATGAATTTTAACTGGGCTTAGATACAGAGTAATTATACATTTTAAAAGAAATGGGTAGACAGGATGAACACAATAGTAGGCTACAAAAGCTTAATTATACATTTAAATACAGAGTGAAGCAACAAAAAGAGAACCCCACAGCCCAACACCAAGAGTTATCGAACAATATACATAACCCAAAAAAAAAAAATAGAGTAAACACAATCAAATCGAAGACTACTCACAAGAAAAATAGATTCAACCCCAAATTTTTGCACAAAAATAGATAATTGAATAAAACATTTTCAGGTGGGAGGGTTGGCTGTGAGTCTTGTGACCGATCCAAAGGCTTTGATGGCTGCTGCATTCAATATGTGTTCATGATACACGGCTGCAGCAAGCGCTCCGACGAACGGCCCCACCCAAAAGATCCACTGCTCCATCACAATCACCATTAAAAAACAAAAAAAAAAGCAAATAGTTTAATAAGATTTAGACAAAAACCTAATAAGCTAGCTTGTTTTAAAGAGTTTTTCAAGTAGTAGCTCCATGTCTAACCTGATCATCCCAGATTTTCTCTTTGTTATAAATCACAGCAGCTCCAAAGCTCCGAGCAGGGTTTATACCGGTGCCGGTGATGGGGATGGTGGCCAAGTGCACCATGAATACTGCGAACCCAATAGGCAAAGGAGCCAAAACCTATTGCCACCCACCCCCCAAACCATAAATATTAATCATCGGATCATAAAATTCAACAAATTAAAATAATCAAGCACAATACTCATGCAATACTCACAGGCACGTGCGAATCACGAGCCTTTCGCTTGGGATCGGTGGCGGAGAAGACAGTGTAAACAAGCACAAAAGTCCCAATAATCTCAGCTCCTAAAGCAGTTCCTTTAGAGTAGTCTGGTTGCACAGAGTTTGCACCACCTCCTAGTGTCTTGTAGGAGTTCTCCATGAAGGCTTTCACCAACCCTACTCCACATATTGCTCCCAAGCATTGAGCCACCATGTACACTAGAGCTCGAATCAAAGACACCTTTCTTGCCAAGAACAACCCAAACGTCACTGCCGGATTTATGTGACCACCTGCGGTTTTATTAACACAAAAATGTAAATAATTATCATCATCATACACCTACTTTCCATTTGCTCCCTATAGTATCAATTATAATAATTAAATCCTCTATTTAATCTACATCCAATAATTTATTTTGATAGACTACCTCGTGTTAATTGACTAGCTAGAGAAGTGTATATTTGTTCAACAAAAAACTCTTTTGTCTCAATTATATCAGTTTTTCTCTCTACTATAAGTATTTCTTCTTAAATCCTCGATTTGTAATTTTTTTGGGTTTAGTATTTTCTTTATCTCATGATCAGATGAAACAAGTCAAAGTTTTTTAGCCCAAGAAAGATTTTCACCCCAACATATATACTTATCTAGCCAAGTTACACGTACTGAATTGAAATCTAATTAAATCTTTGATATTGTTTAATTGCTACAATTGAAATTTCAGCTATCCAATAACAAATAGATGCACGCATATTGTAAAGGTGTAAATTTAAGTAGAATACACACACACACACACACGTAATATATACATATATATAGACATATTAAGAGGGTTTTTTGCAGGGTTTGAACCAGATATTCCAGCAGTGCAATAGACGAGGACAAAAATCATGCCACCAAAAGCCCAAGCAACGCCTAAAAGGCCAACAGTGTTGCAAGCATCAGCTTGCTCCTTGTAGCCGATTAAGGTGGCGACTGTGATGTAGAGAAAGAGTAGGGTGGCGATGAATTCGGCAATAACAGCTCTGTAGAAGGACCATAGCATCAGCTCCTCCATGTCAATGAAAGGCGCTGGCGGTGGCTCCACATAGTCTCTCTCTTGTTCAGCAGATTCTCCTTCTTCCATCACTTCTTTCGACATATTTAAGGAATCAGAATCTGCAATTCAGAGCACACTAAGTTCTCTCAGTCTTTTATTACACTATATCCTACTCTTTCAGTACTGTAATTAACTCTGTGCTTTAATACTGTGGCTCTCAGAATGGAGACTGAAGGGCAGTGAGAAAGTCCATTTATGCAAGAGAATTGGAGGCATATGCTTTAGGATAAGGAACAATCTAGTGCTGAGTCGGACAAAAGGAATCTTCTCTTCTACCTTGCGAGGTAGACATAATATATTGGCTAGCTATGTATGATACGATAGCTCAAGATGATTCATATGGTTACTTGCATTGCATGTGTGATAACCCAAACACTAATGCAACTCTTGATTAAATTTTGGGATGAAATTTTGTGGTCCTAATGGTATGGCAACCCGCCATGTTAGAGTATTTTATGTGAAAAATTCAATTTGATATCGAGTAAATTTTTAAAAATGTTTCAATATATATATATATATATATATATATATATGCTAGTGTTATATTACCATTGAATTAAGTGAAACTTTGAAACTCTTACGTGTGTAAGAGTTATTTTATCTCGAGGATTACACGCTATTACGTTTTGTATTGTGTTTCTTCCACACAAAAACACGAATCGTATTAAAAAAATGACCTAGTCCGCGTCTTATCTTCACGTTTACTTTATTTTTCAGACTTATTTTTCCAACACGACATCCAACAAATTATTGGCCTCTTTGAAGAACAGATTGCGGCTTTGTGCAGCTTAAACTTTTTCTTTTTCTTTTGAAAGCAGATACCTTATTTTATGTAAATTGTTCAATTTAAAATGACATCAAGTTCTACATTGTATCTAGAAGTGGCCCCATGTCCGAGCTTATCTTTGATTTTTAATAACAATTTAAAGTTTAACAAAAATAATTAACGTCCCTGGTCCTATCCACCCAGTAATGGCTTATGGCTGCTGGCATATTTTCGTCTCCTATCAAAAAAACATCATTTTTCCGGGGAAAAAAAAAAAGGGAAAACGACAATTTGTTCTCAATTTAATAATTCAAAAAAAATGCCATTAATTAGATTTTGATTAAATGTGAAAAAGCAATGTTACATGAATTTAAAAATTAAACTTAAAAAATAGATTTGATAAAGACAACCATTAATTTTACCGAAAATTTTGACATTTATTGGTATCCACTATCCAATTAATAGTTATAATTATTAAGTTTAAACTTAAAACAGTTTCCAAAAGACTCCATTATTGAGGGAGTGGAGATATGGGCCCTAATGACAATAAAAAAAAAAAAAAAAGAGATATGGGCCCGTACTATCTCTCCGGTTTGCTCTGACGAGGTTTTTAGTAACGAGGAAGCCAAGTTAGGGACGAATATTCCAAATATTTTGCTGGTATATTTCCTTCTAGAATATGCTGATTCTTTTCGTGTAATTATTCTGATCATATGTTTATGCGTGGATCGGATCATAATCATTGTGATCTAGAAAATACATATGAAGGCCTGTCTACCTTCCAACGTTTGTCGTTTTAGCACAATTAGGCCCATTTTGTTTTACCTCGGAATTGGGCCTACGTAATGGAGCATCCACCATAGGAAACTATAATAAAATTCAAATATTGGGATTGCCTCTAGTCTCCGCCAGATTGAGTTGGACCCGTCTTCATTGCAAAAATGGATTTTTTGATGAAGATGTAGGAAGATTCCACTTATGGTACGAGACGAAACTGCCTCATACCAGAGCGATTTTTTAATCTAGATAACAGACAACACTGCAAAAAATGGAGTCAAACACACAAAATTCTAATACCTGCGGAGTCCAAAATAAGCAAATAACAAACACACAGACAACATAATTAATGAGAAACGATAATTCAAAAAAAAAAAAACCCCAATATAAGTTTGGGAGAAATAGTAAATAGTAATAATAAGCAGGTACGTATTATTACAACAGTTGTTAAAGATTTGGTGATTTGCCGGCAATGTCAATTACAAAGCGGTACTTAACATCGTTGTTTGCGAGTCGATCAAGGGCTTCGTTAATTTTATCAGGCGTGACAACTTCAATGTCGCATGTGATGTTGTGCTTCCCACATAACTCCATCATCTCCTGTGTCTCTTTTATGCTTCCTATCATGCTCCCCTTCACCACTCTCTTGCCTGTCAAAAGTGAAATAAGATATATGTTGAATAATTACGCATCTCTATCATCTCAGTTCTATGCCTTTTGGAATTTACCACTGCAATGCAAATCTCGTACGTATACAATCGTCCTCCTCGATTATAAATTTCTCACAATGTGGTGGTGCTATGCAAATAATAGGAGACTCTCTGAAACTTACCAAAAATGAGAGGAAAAGAAGGCAGGTCTATGGGTTTGTCTGGTACGCCCACAATCACCAAAGTACCATTCACTTTGAGTAGCTCTAAAGTTGGTCCAAGGGAGTGCTTGGCAGATACTGTATCCAAGATAAAATCTAGAGTCCTCTTCTTTGACTGTGACCCACAATTAAAAACAAAGCATATCACTAGTTTAGAGAGAACTAAAATTGAAAATTTAACATGAATAAAGCATTAAAAAAATTCAATTTAATACTATGCTTTATAAAAAAACAGAGTTAACAACATTTTTAGTTCATAAGTATGTCTGTTTAGTTCTCATTATATTAATTTTATCAATTTAATCCCTAAAATTTCAATTCGTGTTATTTTGGAACCGTTCAAGATTGTTCCCAAAAAAGCTGATAAAGTTGAAAAAACCCATTTGGGGAGACTTTCTAAGTGTTTTGGCTTTTGTGTCAAAAAAAAATAATAATAATAATCACATTTATATATAAATTGTAACTAATAATTCTCAAAATATGAATTTTAAATTTTTTTACATGGCTAATAATACTTTGTGAATATAATAAATTAAAAAGTTAAATGACGCCCAAGCAAAAAAATGGGTAAAAATAACTTTAAAAAAAGTCGTTTTGAAAAAACCAGGGCCAAACAGGAGAGCTATTTTATGATGTTTGGGCAGAACAGCATAAAAAAACTGGGTCCAATCCAAACGTGCCCATTGTGTTAATGGATCAAACAACAATGATGTAATCTATAGTTTGCCCGATAAAAACTATAGTAAAAGGCAAAAAAAAATTAACCTGCATTTGTTCGGCGTTTGTGCTGAGTATGAAATCATCGGCTCCGAGGCGTTCTCTAGCTTCCTTTTCTTTGGATGGAGAAGTGCTAATGACAGTTACATGGTGGCCAAAGGCCTTTCCGAATTTGACAGCGACATGGCCCAGACCTCCCAGACCGACTATTCCGAGGCGTTTCCCTGTTGACTCAATCAAGTTGTTGTCTTTCATGGGGCAGAACACGGTGATTCCGGCACACAATAGTGGCGCCACTGCATCCATTGGCAGGGTTTCCGGTACATGCACTACATATCTTCATGGCAAATGTACACTCCTTTAGGAAACTCAGACATGTATACCACAGGTTTGGAAAAAAACAAAAAAATATACATAAAAAGGTATTAGATTTAGGGTTGTCTGTAAATTGTGTTCGCCCGATTTTTAATCGTATATAATTAAATTGACAAGGATATTTCACATTTTAATCATGTTTCTATTGATCCACATATAATTATGTTTGTAGAGATGACAATAGGTAAACTCAGATATCCTAAAGTTTGAATCTTGACTACCTTTTTAAGTCAAATCATGACCCTAATAAATTCTTTAGTTCCAATGTGAACAGTTTGTCTATGACCGTGGATTCATCGAGATATATACAAAATAGTTTGAATACCTGATTATTAAACTAAAAAAAAAAAATAGGTAAAGTCAGGCACCGGCCGATAAAAATGTTGTGAGGTAGGCCAGTTGGGCTGCAATAAAGAGGTCATCCACAATAGCTTAGAATGTAATCATTGGCTACTTGTTAATTGAAAATTTGTAGAATTATACAGTAAATTTTATGAGCCATAAGTAAAAAAGTAATAATTTATAACCTACCGGTAGCTTATGCCTTACAAGTGTACACCATCACTTATTATTTATTGAGTAATGTTATTTGGATCTAAAAGTTTGATATAATTTGTAAACTTAATGATTTGATTTCATTAGAACCATGAGATTAACACCAAATTCTAATATTTAATGAGGCCCACAATCAATCAAAAAATCATAATAAATTAGGTCAACAATAAATAACTTATTATTTGTAAAGTAACTAGTTATTGTCTCTGCCTGAAGGCACAAAGTAATAAAAAATAAAAAATAATAAACATATTTATATTCATATCTAAAATTAAATTACAAACATATAGAAAAGATAAATGAATTTAAGGATCGGTTGTAGTGGGGGTAAAAAATGGTTAGCAACAGTAGTGGTGGTAAGAGACGGTGATGGTTGTGATAGGTGGTAATGACCGTGGTGGCGGCGGCGGCAGGGGGTGGAGGCGGCGATGGTGGTAGAAGTAGTGTTGGTGGGGGTGGTAGTGGTAGAAGTAGTGGTGGGGTGGTTTCAAATACTTTTTTTTTTAAAGTACTTATGAGAGATAATTTTTAAAATTACTTTCAAAAAGTCACTCCAAACACACCCTTAAAAGCTTATTTTTCATATTAAATTTAGAGTATTAATATTAGTCATTAGATTAACTTTAAAATAAAATTAAAGCAATCTGAACCGCAAAAAACAAAAATAATTTTGTTTATCTTTTGAGATGTGAATTGTAAGCTACTTTATTATATAGATATTATTTAGATCTAAAAGTCTGACATAATTTGTTGATTTAATTATGTGACTTCATTGAAACTATTGGATTAACATTAAGTTTTAATGTTTGATGGGGGCCCACAATTAATCCAAAAGACATAATAAATTAAGTTAACAAATTAGATCACAATAACATTCTTATTTATATAACCATAAATCATAACTAACAACTTAGAACTAAAAATTTAATAATTGGACGGATTAGTAGGCAGGCATAGTGGGATGGGCACACAGGTTGGGCTTTGAGCAAGCCTATTGACTCGGCTAGCTCGATGGCCAGCTCGTGGACTTTGGGAGCATGGATCTAACGGGCCTTTTCTTCGGTCCAATAAATATTGATGGCAAGGTCCGTTAATGAATTGAGTTTTAATTGGATTCTAACTGATTTAAATCCCAATTCAATTTTAAAAGTCCAATTCAAATTCGATTTAAATAATTTAATTCACTAAATTTTAATAAATTATACATAAATTTCAACAAAAATATTTTAAATAATTACTTAATTTTTTAATATTTATATAAATAATTTAAATCGAATCGAATATAAGTCTATACGAATCTAAATCCGTAAAATATAAAATATCAAATTCAAAAATATTAATCCATATTCCACAACTCGAATTCAAGTTGAGTTCCGATCTATTGAAAGGTCTATTGCTGGCCATTAAGAATTGTCAACAACAATTAGGAACTTGATACTTGAGAAAACTATACAAATAACGTTCGTATTTATTAAGTTTTTGAAATTATTTTCGAACTTTTAAACTCTCTAATTATATTAATTGAGTCATTCGGTCTACTTTCATTAGATTTTTTAACCAAAAAATACATAATATACCATTGATGTAAGGTAATACTATGATGATCAAATTTAAAGACCAAAGTAAGAGTCTAAATCCAAATGACTTGACAACATATTATTTAAAATTTTTATTCGGCTAAAATGATATGATACAAAATAAATAAATTCAACTCAACTACAGTGTCATTTGGGTGGGCGCTTGATTTAGTCTTAAATTTTGATTAGTCTCCGTGTAATACAAATGAGTTACAGATAGGTCGCGACACTGACAGAATCTATCCCTTTTCGTTGAAAAATCTAACGGAAAGAGACTTAAGGCTTAACACAAAAAAAAAAGGTTCAAGGGCTTTAACTGTTATAATTTGAAGGGCTTATGTGTATAGTTTATTCTAGATAGTAGATATTTTACCTATGATCGGCCACCAGCATCTTGGAGTAGCCGCCGTAAGTGATGCTACCATCCCAGAAAATGCCATTATATGTGAATTGAACAGCGTCGCAGTAGTTCTCCTGCGAATCCTTGCAGAACTCACATTCCAAGCACGATGCCGCCAAGCATCCAACCCCCACCCTGTCACCTACCTTGAAATTGCTCACCTCGCTTCCCACTTTGATGATCACCCCAGTAATTTCATGCCTGAGACACATATAAATCATATAGATACCCAGATCAGATTAATGCATATCAACATAGAGAGATCAGAGAGAGAGAGAGAGAGAGAGAGTATAAATACCCAGGGACTACAGGAAAAGTGGTGATGCCCCAATCGTTCCTAGTATAGTGGATATCAGTGTGACACATCCCACAATACAAGATCTGGATTGTCACATCATGGATGCCATTTTCTCTAGTAACCGGCCCATGAATTAGTTTGGATAATAAAATGTTCGCAGAAACAATCAACAAGCAAACATTAAGAAACATATAAAGCCTTTCATGGAGTTTGAGAAAGAGATCAGAAAGAAATATATATATATATATATATATAGATAGATAGATAGATATAGACACAGAGACACATGTATGTCTGGCCGTTTACCTTCGCTTGAAGGTATAAGGGGTGAGCTTGGCACCGGCTTCAAGGGCTGCCCAGCCGGAAACAGTCTGTGTGTGATTCGGAGTTGTTTGAGCCATGATAACAGAGACAGAGAGAGAGAGAGAGAGAGAGCCTCGGCGCGAATAGTGGTCTGGGACGAAGGGACTCCTGAACAATACTCTGGTATTTTGATGGGGGTCTTTAAAAAGCGATGGCCACTCGTCAAAGAGACTGTATTGTTTCATAAAGACAGTGGGTGGTAAGGTTGGTCGATTATAATTTAATATGGGAGAGCTGTTTTCGTTTTTTAATTCCGCCAAATACGCACATTAGTGGGTCATTACTTTAACAAAAAAATCAAATTATTATATAATTTAAATGTAATTTTTTTGCCTAAATTACAGTTTTAGTTCCTAAAATATGCATTTAATATCTATTTGGTCTCTAATATTTCAATTGTGTTTATTTGGTCGCTAAGATTCTTAATTTGTATTTACATAGCTTAATCCCAACACATCCGTCAGAAAATCATGACAGTTCTGATCACACATCAATCACGTGATTTCTAATTTGTGTCTATTTGATTCTTAAAGTTTTTAATTTGTATCTATTCAATCCCACGTAATTGGCGTGTGATCAAATGTATTAACAATTTTTTTATGAATATTTAAGATTAGATCACATAGATATAAATCAGAAATCTTATAGACCAAATAAAAATAATTAAATAATTAAAGACCAAATAAACACTACAAATATATTTTGAAACTGAAACTGTATTTTGCCCTTTTTTTTTTTAATACATGCATGCCGGTGGCACTAAGTATTAAAGTGTTTCTTTTGGTTGGAATCTCTGAAGTCCTCAACTGCTTTTATACATACTTATTACGGCATCCAAAGTATGGGTCTTATCAATCGTCCTATTTTTTAGGCACATAATTAATACTATTAGTTGTTTTCTATATTGATTAGATTATTCGGATTAATTTATACGTATTTTAATTATTATTATTTTTATTTTATTTAATCAAAAATACGTCATTTATGTCGGAATTAATATATTTATAAAATATAAATCATTTATGGACTGACCCAAAATATTATTAAAATTTGAATTCAGAACATCTGAGTTTACAATTTATCTTTATTACCACATAAATTACCCTGCAAATTTATAATAACTCATTTTGTGGCACGGCCTAGAAACCTTTTTTTTTAAGTAATGTCGATTGGATCTAATATATTATTATAATAAATTATTATCGTTGAATGATTGATCATTTATAATCTTTGATTTATAATAATATTAATAGATTAAATCAAATCAAAAAAATTAACATTATCATTCAAAAGTGTAGGTTGAACAGTATAGGGAGGCTTGGTTGTTGTTAACAACGCCCTTTATGGTCAATTTCTTTGTTGTCATTGTAAATTTATGGTCAATTTCGTTGAAATGTGAACGTACTTTCCATAAAAAAACAGAGACAGTCTTCGTCAGGTAAGCTTCTTTGTAATATGGCCGGCTCTGCGGTGATATTTCTTGTTTTCTTATTTCAATTAAACAACGATTCAAGCTTTGACCCAAATCAACCACTAATATCACCGCCGCCACTATCACCCGCCATCTCTCTTCATCAACGAGGCCGACCAATCTATACCCTCTTTCTAACTCTTTTCTCCCTCCCTTGATCAGTGACAAGGCCGAATTAGGCTGTCACTGGCTAGAGGTTTGCTCGGTAGAGGTGCCTTTGAGGAGTGATTTTGGTTTAAAAAAAAAAAAAAAAAGACAGATGAAAAAGGTAATTATCAAGTTTTACCAATGATATATAAGTTATTTTTATAGTAAATATTCCATTAAAATGAATCATCGTGACATTTTTCAAATATCTAAAGATTGTCTTAATTTTTTCACTTTAACTCAAAAGATTCCAATAAAATCCATCATAGAGTAGGAAGCTTTTTTTTTTAATGATGAGTGGTATTCAGATCAGTTTACGCGTATTTTGATTAATTAATTTTTTTTCGATAAAAGACAGATCATTCATGCTAGAACTATAATATTCATAACAAATAAATGTCGCATGATCTAATTGTAAACAATTGTCAAAATTTAAATTTAAAAACTCCCAATTTACAGCCTCTATTAAAACAGGTACCTTTTGGTTGGTGTATTACTAAATTGTTCACATGGGCCTCTACATAAGATTGCAGCCGTGTGGGCATAATAATATGGCCGCAAAAATAAAAATCGAGAGAGTTACACTTAGAGTTTTTGAGATTTGTCACTTAATCACTCAAACCTCTAACATTTGAAATGTTATACACTGACCTTCTGAAGTTTGTATTCACGTAACACTTAGACCCCTAATGTAAATATATCTGTTAATAAATTACACTTAGACTCCTCTAAAGTTTGTGAATATAAAACACTTAGACCCTTTAAATTTAAAATATTATATTTAGACAAAAAATATTCCAATCAAATATAAAATAACAAATATTTTAAAATTTACAACAAAATTTTATCTCTTATTGTATCATTTATTGAAATAAAATCAAAAATAAAAATTCAATTTTTTTAAAAAAAATTGTAATTATTATGCAATTATATTATCTATTAGAATTTAATTTAGTCGTTTAAACAATCAAATTAAAATACCAAACTACCACAATTAAATCTAAAAGATATTGTATCCATTACAGTTTGATTTATTTTTTAATTTTTTACTTTTGTTCTAATAGACAGTATAAATATATACTAACTATTTTTTTTTTAAATAAATTTTTAATTTTAATTTTATTTCAATAAATGACATAAAAGAACATGAATTTTGGATGTAAAATTCATATTCTATTATGAATGACTTAGACCCATTATTTGATTTTTTTTTTTTTTAGTTTTATTGCAATAGATAATATAATTATATACTAATTATGATTTTTTTAAAAAAAATTAAATTTTATTTTTAAATTTATTTCAATAAATGATACAATAGAGAATAAATTTTAGTTGTAAAATTTAAAATATTTTATATTTGATTAGAATATTTTTTATCTAAGTATAATATTTTAAACTTAAAGGATCCAACTATTATATACCCACAAACTTTAGGGGAGTCTAAGTGTAATTTATTAACCGATATATTTACAACAGGGGTTTAAGTGTTACGCACGTACAAATCTCAAGAGGTCTGTGTGTAATATTTCAAATATCATGGGGTTTGATTGATTAAGTGACAAACCTTAGGAAGTCTGACTGTAATTCTCCCAAAAAAATTTGTAAGTAGGAATACGAAATTAGAGTTATTATTATTATTTTTTTTGATAATAACCTATTCAAAATTTTCATTTACATAGAAAAATATTGGGTACAGTCAGACGCCAATAAAACCCTAAGCTCAGGCGGGGGACAATTAACCCAACTCAATAGAATCGAGTTAGATAAAGGGTGCGCTGCAATCCAATGAACTGCTCTATGAAGGGCTCTTGACTCGTACAAAAACCATAAATCTAGAACTCTAAAAAAATGTTTAATATCTTCAACGAAAACACTAATTGTGTTAGGTCATGAAGTCTTTATTTTTAGAACTTAATTGTGTTCAAATACACAATTTAACTTTTTATGATTTTTCTTTAACATATTTGCCCTCCCTTAAAATCATGCATATTTCTATTGGCAGTTAAGTTGATTTTTTATTTTATTTTATTGTATTAAAGATTTCTTAATATAATGGTAGAATCATATTATCACAAATTTTGCATCTAACGTTGATTATCGATATCTTAATGGTTTTAAGTTTTAAACTTTTTTGTCATTATCCTTACCATTAAACATATTTCTCTTGTCATTAATATGTATATATATATATACACACACAAAAACACATAATATTACGAAATCACGCTATGAATGCTAATTTATATTACTCGTATATTATATTGATGCACTTTAATTTTATAAACTCTTTAACTTGTATCAAAACAGTGTAGGAGAAATAAAAATTAAACTTCATAGTATGATTTCGTAATATTATATGTGTATATATATGTGTGTGTGTGTGTGACCAAAATTCTTTAATTTTAGTACATTTTAAAATAAAATAATTAAAATTCTTTAATTTTAGTTGTCAAATTTCAAAAGTTTTCAAAAAATTTAAAACATATTTCTAAAAAAAATGAAAAGAATTTATTATGAGTTTAAATTTTCTTAAATTTTCGATTTTTATTTTATTGGAATATATATATATATCCCAACCGTAAGTCCCGTGTGAGGCAAAGAGTGGATCGCAGGCGAGAAGTTGAGAGAAGCCAGATTAGGGGTATGTCTAGTTTTGTCCAACTTACATATTAATTTAAAATTTGATAACAATTTAGATTTTAAAAATGAGTAGATTATTCAGATCTAATTCTAGAGCTAGTACATCTAGATCTTCAGATTATTCTATGCCACATAGAGTAAATGAGGAAGAATTAGAAATAGAAGAAACTAGAACAGACTGGAAGAAATGGAATATTCCTCCAGTTAAAGAAAAAAACATTTATAGCACAACTTGGGTTCAGAAAACCTTTAGTGAAGAACACCAAGTTAAAACTGTTGAACAAGTTCATCCTCTCAGGAAAGAAGATGAGCTTTGTGAGCTCCTCACTAAGGAGACTCTTAAAAATCACAAGGCCAAAGGATTTAATTTTATCCACATAGGTCTTGTTCAAGTAGCCATTAAGCCTCTTATTACTCAAGGCAGGAATGCTGCTGCCTTACTAGCACTAAGAGATGCGAGGTTTCTTGATTGGGAACCAAGTGTCTTGGGAATCATGGAGACAGGACTCCACCGAGGTCCAGTCTACTTTAATTGCTTCCCAGACTTTACCCTAGACCTCCATTGTCCTAATACACATATGGCACTAACTCTTGGTATCCGTCTCACAGGCGATATTACCAGGTTAGTAAAAAATACTAGTTCTATAGTACTTATTTACAGGATTTATTACAAGTGTATTCGTACCAATCTAAATGTACAATGCCTTGACCCAAGTCCTAAAGGAAGTACTATGTTAATACAAGCTAGTTCTGCACAGACTAACATCCAGGTCCCAAAGCAGCTACTTTGGAAAGATGTGACTTTACCAGAGTCATGGACTGTACAGAATGAGAATTTTGACAAGGAATCTAGTGCCGAGTCAACAACAACTGATCTGGAGACTATCAGACAGCTCCCTGATGGATCAGTAAAAATATCTTTTGACACTGCCAGATCCAGTAGATCTTGCAGATTTACCCCCAGGCATGATCAGTTTTCTGAAGGAAGAAAATCTGATTTCTCATCTGTTTCCCATAGAGACAGAGAGATTGCCAAAGAACTTGACCATAGGTTGAAAGGAATCGCTAATTCCTCAGACCCAGTAGCTAGACCAGTGTATACTCCCATAAGTGTCCCGTTAAAGTCTAGGTACACAGAGTTCAAACAAACAGAGAATGATGCTTTTACTCCATCACCTTTTCTGTCACCCACTGCTAGTGCTTTTGATGAAAATAGCAAAGCCCATCAATTATACACTATCACTAGGGAAAAAGAATTTTTTATGCCTGATATTTACAAGTTAAAAAAGAATTTCAAAACCCCTGAGAACAGACCTCTTAGGAAAGCTTTTGAATCTTTACCTTGTAAAACCCAGGAAACCATTAAAAAAGAATGGGTTAAATTAATGTATAAATTAGAATCCGAAATTGCTTTTGAAAACTACTTAGCAAATTCCCACAAAGAATTAAAAGTAGTAACCCAGCAAAATTGGAAAACAGAATCTGCCGTGGTAACCGCTAGTCATCCACCAGCAGAAACTATTGAATTTAAATATGCTAACAAAACTGTCACAGCTTCTCCCTTTAAGATTCCAGTTTTAGAATCTGAAAAGAAGATAGTTGAACAGGTCAATTTCACCAACCAAAGCCTAATTACCATAGGTAAACAGTTGGATAAAATTGAAAATAAAATAGATGAAATTAAGCCCTCTTCAGTAGAAAGGCCAATAGTCAGCCTACCAGAAGAAAGAAAGAATTTAGGTTTAAAAGACAAAAACCTACTTCAACAGATTGATGCACTCTGGAGTCCCAAGGTTAGTCATTAATTACAAACCTTTAAACAAGGTTTTAGAATGGATTAGGTACCCTATACCTAACAAACAGGATTTGATAAAAAGACTCAATAAGTCCACTATCTTTTCCAAATTTGATTTGAAAAGTGGTTTTTGGCAAATACAGATCCACCCTATGGATAGGTATAAAACCGCTTTTACTACTCCCTTCGGACATTATGAATGGAATGTCATGCCCTTTGGGTTGAAAAATGCCCCAAGTGAGTTCCAGAACATAATGAATGAAGTTTTTAATTCCATTAGTCATTTCTCTATTGTTTATATAGATGATATTCTCATCTTCTCCAGAACAATAGAAGAACACTGGAAGCACCATGACTAACCTTGGGACTCCTCTTTCTAATTCAGCGTTTTTGATGACATAGAAAGCAGGGCAAGACCAAGGTGACTTACTATTCCTAATGATACCATTTTTCAGTAACTCTGAGATTTCCTTTTTACAGATCTCAGTGGTCTCATGGTTCATTTGGATTGGTCTGGATTTAGTAGGGATATTGTCCTCAGTAAATCCTTTAATATATGGAAGTCTGACCATGTGTTTCTTCCTATGCCAGAATGCTGTAGGAAGGGAGGAACAAACTTCTGACTCTAAGTTTTCTCTAAACCTATCGATCTTCTGTTGTAAGATTGGATTGGTTAGGTTTTCTTTAGTTCTGAGGTGGTTAATCTCTTGTTTAAGAAATTTCACTTGCTTAATTTTTCTGTTAATAACATTAAGAGACTGTGAGACAGAAATGTCTTTTAGCTGCCTTAAATGTCTTTTTTCAGGTTTGGTAATAAATAGAAATACAATTTTTCTTCCAAAATGCTTGGTTGATATTCCATCCGTATCTGTACTAAAAGGGTACAAAAGATATATGAATGGAAGACCAAGAATAACAGCATCAGTCATGTTATTAACAAGAAGGAATGATGTTTCAAAACATACATCTTGCTGGCAGACATGAACTTTAGGAAGTTTGTATTTAACATTCATTTTGCTGCCATTGGCAGAACTAATTCTTTCCAATGTTTTTTCATAGAACATGGTTGGAATTAATCCTTCTTGGATGCAGTTAACATCTGCTCCAGTATCCAATAAGGCAATAACAGTAATATGAAAACTATTGTTAATGATTAATTTTACTTCAACATGCCATTTTTGGATAGTTAAAGAATTAATTAAACTAATTCTTATATATATATATATATATATATATATATATATATATATATATATATATATATATATATATATATATATATATATATATATATATAATATGCTTGATGATATATTTCAAGTTATTTTAAAAAAAGAATTAGTAAGAATATTTTTATGTCATTCCTTTTGAATTTGGACAATTGTTTAAGATTTTTTTTGTTTATTGTATAGTGTCTTCAGACACGGGTAATAACTAGTGTGTAATAAAGTAACAAGTTTAATTTGTCTTGACCTTTTCGCGACTCAGATCGATTCAGTATTATTGATCTGATGATTTTTATTAATCTACATTCCTACAAAACTCTACTACATTTATTTTATCTATTCTCATCCCAGTTCAAACCATTGGAGAGTTTGATTTGGACAGTTATATATATATATATATTAAAACTTTAATAACAAAAATTATCTCTAAAAAAATATAGGTTTATTAACATATACCGTCCTATATATCTATTTATATGTATCTATAGTAATATCTATATTTATATATATTAGTAATCCACGACGTGCGTTGCAGGTAAATAAATTTAAATAATTTTTTTTTATAAAAAATATGAATTATATGCATATTTAAATTAAAAAATAAATTATAATTTAAATAATTAATATATTTTAATTATTACTAAATTTAATTATTAATTTATTCAATTAACTTTGAGTACTTAATCTATCATTTATTGAAGCATCTCTCCAAATTTTGTAAGCATTTGCACACTAATTATATTAAAAATTATTAATTTTTATTTTTCAAAATAGATTGATTAGATCGTTCATAATATTATTATATTATTGCATACCAAAAAAATAAAATATAATATATATTTGACTATATAGTGTACCTGTCTGACGATCTGTATTTTAGTGTACTTGTCTGATAATCTATGTTTTAATGTACATATCTAACGATCTATTATTATGGAGAAAAAGGTACATTAACGATTTGTATTTTAGTGTATTTGTTTGACAATCTGTATTTTAATATACCTGTTGATGATATGTGATTTTAGTGTATTTGTCTGACGATTATTACTTACATGTTATTTTTTATATTTTTTATTAATATCTATTTTTTTTGACTTGAAAGTATGTATATATATATATATATTAATTACGTATTTATCTTACGATTTATGTTTATAAAGAAAAATATATATTATGAAGAGAAAATTTTTAAAATAGATGTTAAAATTAGGTACGATTTGCAAAGATCGTTAGTTATGCACGTCACTTTGACTTTTTAACAGCGACTCAGTTTAAAAGAAAATTGAGGAGCGAGTATTTTTTGGAATACTATTGGGCTGAGTAACTCGTCTCCAAATCCCTAAAAAATAAAAAGAAGAAGTCCAAAGCAATTAGGGCTCTGTAGTGGCTAGGAAAATAAATAAAGAGGACAAAGCAGTCCCTTTTTGGTAATTTAAAATAATATAAAACACCTTCAGTAGCACCACCACACCGGAGAAGTTCCAAAAAACCCACAAAGCCGAAGAAGCATAACAAAATTGAGGAGAGAGGATCACTGTACGACGGCTCGATCTACGGCTTGATCTTTTCATGCTCTCGAAAGTTCTCAATTTACGATCCGATCGTCATCAAATATGGTCTCAATACGTTTGTCAATTTGTTGTTAATTATTCTGTCATTGAGTATTGATCAATTATTTTGATTCCTGTTTGTGTTCGTGTTTGCCCTAATTTTGAATGGTCATGACGGCCGATTCTTCAACAAATAACCATTCCCCACGTTCTCCGGTTACTCCCGGCGGCGACGGCGGCGACAATGGTCCTCAGTTGCAACGGCGGAGTAGTTTACCGTGGACCCAAGTTGTTCGTGGCACCGAGCACGAAGCAATCTCAGCCGTTTCTTGCTCTCCATCATCATCATCCTCGTCGCCGCCGCCGCTTTCTGCGGCGGAGCAAACTTATTTCTCTCCGAAAGCTCCGCCTGAAAAGTTTACACCGGAGACTCAGTTGGAGAGTTCCGATGATACTAACGACAATGTCGGTCGTCCAAAGAAACCTGCCTGGAAAAAACCCTTGAACGGCGTCGTTGAGGTTAATACGGTAATGGGAGGTACTATTTCTTGGCCTGCTCTCTCCGAGTCGGCTCGTCCAACGCCTAAATCGACTTCCGATTCACCGAAAACGCCTTCTGATAAGTCAGACTCTATTTCTCAGGTTCAGTTCTTCGAAAACCTATTGATATAGGCATGCGTAAGAATTTCGATGATTGAAAGATTGGTTCTTATTATACGTTTGATTGGATGATTATTGCTTTTATATCTGTTCATTATAGGGACCTGTAATTTCACACACACCTCAGAATCAAGCCAAAACTAACGCAAACCCTAATTTTACTCCCAACAAAACCATGCTTGCTCGGCAGAAATCGATGAAGCATCGTGGTGGCGGTGGCATGGGAAGCGGACCGGCACAGACTGACTTCAGTCGGCCACCAACCCCTCCACCCCTGCCACCGCCATTTCCTTTGTTTCAAATGGCTTATAGAGGTCTGGGGCCGGCAATGCTGGATTCAACCGTAAGAGAACCTCCATTCAAGGGTGGGTCTCAATTCCATACAGTGAATGATCACTCTTCTCAAAGAAATTCTTCCCACAGGGGTAACTTTGGGCCCCGCCCCTATGGAGATGCAATGCATCGCAATGGTCATGGAGTAAGACACAATCAGGGGCGTGAATGGAATGGTCCTCGAGGTTCTAATGCACGGGATGTGCATATGCCGCAGCAGATGGCTCCCCCTCCTCCGAGGGGATTTATACAATCACCACCCCCCAGTCCTTCCCCTTTCATTGCACCCTCTCCTGTGAGACCCTATGCGAACCCTATGGGTTTTGGTAAGTTTATCAGATCCTATACATGTATCCATGTAGGCCTTTGTCGAGTGGATTTCTAACTAATGTATCTGGCTTCTTTCAGATATGGTAGGTCCATTCTATTATCTCCCAACACTGCCTCCGGACTCCTTCAGAGGTGTGCCTTTTGTTGCTCATGGCTCGCCCCCACCACCGCCGCCGCCGCCAATGTTTTACCCTCTAGTGGATCTTTCTTTGCCTGCTTTGTTACTCAATCAGATAGACTATTATTTCAGGTATTTTGCACTGTTGGATATTACTTTATGTTTTCCCACTTCGTTTTTGCCTCTTGGAAACCAAATTTGGATTGGTCATGCAGTTGCTTTTGCATTGCAGTGATGAGAACTTGGTAAAAGACAATTTTTTAAGGTCGAAAATGGATGATCATGGTTGGGTTCCCATCACTTTAATTGCTAGCTTTCCTCGAGTAAGTAATATGCTCTTGATAAAAGAAAATATTCTGTGTTCTTCTTGGCTATGGTTTTTGTGTCTTGATTTTTAATCATTGGTTTACTGTCTCCCAGAGAGAATGCCAGAGTTTTAATTTATTTTCTTTGGCTTACATTGATGGATTTGTTCAATTGACAGGGTACTCTTTCATTAATTTGTTAGTCCGTCATTGAACAAAAGTCACTAAAGAATTGGTGATCTTGTCTACTTAATGTTTGTAGATGTTGACAGTAAAGTAAAATCAAAACCCTTGTCATGGGAACTATTTGCGAAGCCTTTGAATTGTAGTTTAACTTCATGGTTATTTTGCCTTTATCTTTATTTTACCAATGATCTTAATATATTTCATTTACAAAACTACTGACAGTTATTTACCAATTGACCTTGCTTTTAAGAGTATAATTCATGTAGGAATTAGATTGTGTATTATCATGTCCTGATGACTTGTTTTAAATCCCTCCATAGGAGAAAAGATCATTGACAAATGATCAATTCTGGCTATTTATGAGGCTTGTATTGTAAAAATATGTCATCTATGCATGTAATTTATTAGCTTATGCTTTTAGATTCACATTTCAGTTTCATTTTTGTGTTAGTGAGATCTCCATGCACAAATTTTGTCTTCTCTATGTATGGTATTGCAGGTTCAGTGTTTGACAAGCAACATCCAGTTTATTTTGGATTCGTTGCGAGCCTCAACAGTTGTGGAAGTACAGGTAACTTATTTACGTTATGGACCCGATTTCTATGTCATAAGTAGATAAGCTTTTTGGTGAGAGAATTTCAAGGTTAATTAGCACCTAAGTAATTTGCTCTCATCATATTGTATGAAGGATTCGAGATTCCAATTTTATTTGTTTTTTTAGGTGAGTGATTTTTGACTTTGAGTTCCCTGAATTTGTTGAAAATTTTGTGATATATGTTCGTTGTGATCTGTAATGGGGTTTTGTTTAATGTAAAAGGCACGTTACTTTATGTAGTGGGATATTAGATTCTTGTGTTAGGAGGTATTGCTGCCATTATCAAGAAAATTGAAATGATGCTACCATATGCAGTCATTTTATCCAGATGGGCTAATTTTTTCCCAAATGTTGCAGGGAGACAAGGTAAGGAGGCATAATGAGTGGAGGAAGTGGTTACCCGCTAATGCTCGGTTTCCGACTGACTCAGGCTCACAGTCACCGGGTGGATCAACTGACGATGTGCTGGCTGCTTCTTTCCAGGTGGTCTCACTGAACGGAGTGACTACAGACCAAAATAGTAATTTGGGTGCCGCAGATAATCATGTAGAAGTATTTCCAGGTAGATATTCATCTGAGGAGTTGACTGGCCAGTCTAGTTTGGCTAATGGGGAGTGTAGTGCTGAAGAAGCATATTCAAGTGTAATATGAATTCAAGCCATGAACAAGAAATTTGCATATTCAGCCAAGGTTGGTAGAGTTTATCTTAGATGGTTCTTGGGTTGCGAGGTGGTGGGTCAGGGGGGAGGGGGGAAGGGGGGAAGGGGGAAGATGATGATTAAGGAAGTTATTCGAATGTCTTTTGTTTGATTTCGCCCTTGACTGAAACCATATTTTGAAATTTTCAAGAGGGCTAACTAGGAGAAAGTAAAATAATAAGCATATGTAACTTGTCTGCCATAGAGAGAAGGAAGAAGTGGAGAAAAAAGGCGGCTTATATTATTGACTTGGACCAAACTACGGGGTTAATGGGTTTGTATAGTTTTGGTGTGGATGGAAGGAAATTTTTTTTCATTATTTGTGGAATTGGTTGGCATTAAAAGGGGGTGACTGAGCTCTGTTTGATTTTTTTGTTATATATAAATCTAGTCCTCTTGTTTTTATTATCATTTTGTCTTTTTGTCTTTGTTATTTTTATTTTTTAGGTCCAGTTTCAGTTTGGATCTTATAAATAGTTGACTTGGTTCAATTCAAATGTTCTCATTTTAAAGATTGACCTGCTGTAAGATGATTGTCATTTACATGATATGTCTCCAAAATTGAGTTTGTATTCTCTGATGCTTTGACTAATGCTTATCTGTCTAAAGGATACGAATTATGTGCCAGTTTTTGTTCCAGTATCAGTATCAGTATCATTGAAAGAAATCATTTCCCCCGCAAAACAGGATGCCCTTATTATTCGGTTTTGTTTCCTGTTATATCTGATATCCAGTTTATTATGCATAAATCAAGGTAAGTAGTTCATGTTAGTTGCAAACTCCATAGCTTCAGTGCTTCATCGTGTCTCAGTTTGCAGGAAAATGTTAAGGACTGTTCGCGTGTCATGACCCTGGATGTATCAGATATTTGAGTTTCAAGTGCTCACCCAATTTGCAGGAAATATTTGCCCATAAGCCCAATTCCCAACCATCAATTCTGCATGTTTAAGCCTCTACCTATGTCCGTGCAGAAGATTCTGGTGCTTTTTTTCTCAGGTAAGATACGAATATTTGTATTCAGTTTCCAACTTATTCATAGATTCTTGGCTTTAGGTGTATGCTTTTAATTTCACCTTCCAGCACTCATATTCTGCCATATTCACTTACCCAAAAGGGGGGAAAAGCAAATCCTAGAAGACATGTAGGGTCACTTTTTGACAGTTTCTTCAAAAACTCTGGAGGGACTGTTATGGTTGAAGATTGAATGTATCCATGTTTTTTTCCTTGTGATGTTGCTTAGATTGTCGTTATTTTTTTTTTATTTTTTGCAAAATAAAGGTCATACTCGAAATTGGGTTTGACACTGACATTCATGTTCTTAGGGAGTGTGGTCCAGCTCAAATAGGTTGGATCAAAATAGGACTTCCCTCAAACTCTGAGTCCACCTTTCAAAAAATCCAAAGAGAATTTGGCTTCCCACCACCCAATCTACTCTCAGCAATTTACTTTACCATGGGTAATTTTATGCCCCATTCACATGTGCTAGCCTCTGGTATCACAGGAACAAAATCATTTTCCACAATGAACCTATCTCTGCCCTAGATCAATTGATTGAACCCCAAGCAACTGTTCCATTTGAATACCTCATAGCAAGCCCAGCCCCGAACAGGCTCATTCAAGTAGACATATGCTCTTTTTTTTTTTTTTTTGCGGGGGGGTGGGGAGGGCTTTTTGGAAGCTGGTCCGCACTTCTGGACTTTTGAAAGAATGACAGGTGTTTTTTGGGGACTTAAAAAGGTCAACTACAAGTATAAAAACTAATTTATTCTTAATAAAATAAATAATTATATTAAAAAGTAAACAATAACAAGGTAGTAATAATAACATGATCACATTAATATGATCACATTAATAACAATGTTCGTGTGGATGAGGTTTAAGGGGTTGATGGTTGGGGATAGAGGTATTATATAAGGTGGCAAGCTGCAGTGGTGGTGGACTAAATAATAACACAATCACACTGACAGTTGCAGTGAAAATTTAATGAAATCAGACAATAACGTGAATTAGATAGTCACATGATCAAATATACTGAATTTTGTTGTTATTGTTCAAATTTCAAAGTATAAATTTGAAATAGTTTTTTGTTTAATACCAAAGAAATTTTATCGAAATGCATGCATTTTATCGTACACCATTTGGGCATATACATTTTTATGTACAATATGAGATTTAAGTGAAACCTTTTCCAAAAAAAATCAAACCAAAAAAAATAATAATAATAAAGATTGATTGAATATATATGAGGTTATTCCGTCATCATTCAAATAATTCATGAATGTTTAATGCTACAAGAAATGAAGGATTCGGGGGCATAAATAATCACCAAGTTATGTGGGTTTTTGGCAGGTCACATAAACTTATGATGTTTGGTACAATAAAAAAATAAAAAATTGGAATGATGAAAAGTTTGAGGAATAAATAAATATTATATTTGATAAGAAAGAAAAATAAGAAAGATGAAAAAGTAGATGAATTAACTTTTCTTACAACTCAACAAAATCAAAAAGAAAGTGGATAAAAAATTAATTATTTGTGTTGAGATGTATCTTATTTGTCTATATATTATGTATACATTAATTTTATAAAAAAATATAATGATAAAATATGTATATATATATATATATATATTTTTTAAAAAATAAAAAATTAAAAACAATGACACAATTCAAACTGGACTCCTTACTTTCCATCGAGCATTTTCATGTTCAATATCATAACATCATGCGTAAACCAACTGGAGAAAGCAAGCAGCAAAAATATTTATCCAACAAAACTAAGAAAAAATCCAACAGCATTCATTTGACCGTTTGTTTTTGTGATTCAACAGTATCGAATCGAGACATCCCATTGCCATTCGAATCAATCACACTGATCATCTTCTTGCACTCAACCAACTAGCTCTTTTTTCCTGAGCTTTTGAGATCGTTTGCAACTCCTCCACCAGTATAATCTCATTCGAAAATGTCCTTAAAATTCCCCAAAACCTTGTCGGAATCAATGCCCTTGGTGTTCAGGACAATGAACTCATGCAAATCGATGAACCCATCGTCGTCGGAGTTGACCTCTTTGATCATCTCTTGGAGCTCTTCGTCGGTGGCTGGGTTTCCGAGGCTGGCAAATATAACGGAGGACATAATAGGAAATAACAAAAAAAGAAAATAAACTATTGGACCTATTTATAGAAAAAGTACAAAACATGTATCTTTAATAATCTAAAAATTGTGCCCGAATCTATTAACAAAAAAGGTCTCCATATTATTATACTTAATTTCATTTTTTGGTAGCCCCTGCTGCGAGTGGGGTGGCCGAAGTTCAATACGGATGGTGAAGCCCACTAGTAGATGCAAAGTTGTCTCGACAATTTTAAACCGGACTTGAAAAATCGAAATGAATTATACGTGCACAGTGGATTTGAATTTAATCTAAATAAGTTTGTGTAGTTAATTGGTGGACTGACATATTAGCGTATTAAACAAACAAATTCACACAAGTTTGGCTGAATACAAAATGAGCTTCCTAAACTTTGATTGGATGCAATTTATACACATGAACTCGATCTAATACAATACAAACTTGGTTATATATGATTAAATAAATTGTAGCACGTACGATATGAAATAGTTTGATTTGATTAGCAGGTCTTGCTATAATTGTTTAACATGCTCCTCCAAAATATTAAGGTACATCTCTATAAGCTAATGCAAGCAATGGGTGGGTGTTGCTTACCTAACACGATGCACCACCTCCCTTTTAATGTCATATGAATGCAATGCTTAAATATTGGAAGAGGCTGTGAATCGATTACAAAATGGTTGACACTATCACCAAGGCAATCTCAATCTCGACCTCACCATCAAAATCATCCTCCACATTTTCTATCTTTTTTGCCTCTCTCTCTCTCTCTCTCTCTCTCTCTCCCCTATGCCAACCAACCCTTGCAACCAGAAAACTACATGGACACATGTCTGGAAACACATCAGATCAGCCTCTCTTCTCTGCATCACCCCCACTACCAACACCGCTGCCACCTCCACCTCCGCCACCCATCACGGCTTTAACAAAGAACAACCAACAATAGCACCACCTGGTGCCACTATCTTGAGTTTGATTTCATTTCATTATCTTGAAATGTCTGACTCCACATTACCATCGCATCATTTGATTTAGTTTCAATTTTTTTTTCCCGTCAATTTAATATTGCGGGTTTGTGGGTCAACCCGAGGCCACGGCCCTGTGACAAAAATGGGCCTTAACATGGCCTCACAATCACAGGCTTCACTCTCAACATCGAACCCAGATCACACGCTCGCTCTCTCTCGCTTGATCTCCATCTCGATCTCTCGATATTGGACAGACCTAAGTAAACAAACGCTCTCACAATCTCACTCACAGAAGGTTAGTGTGTCTTTCCCATACTTCTTATTGCTATTCTGATACTGTCTCTTCACACTATTCCTTGATTTTGAGAATTTAATGCTTCACGAAATGACCTTTTATTGTTTGATTGCTGAGAAAGTGGTGATAACTGAAAGAAAAGGAAGAATTAGTGTCATGTTTCGTCTTTCTTTGATTTCCCGGAAGCCGAAAACCCTTTCTTAGGTTTAACCATGAGCTTATATAGGCACGTATCATAAAAAGGATTTAAAAAAAAAAGTACTCAGATATTTGAAGTCCTGGTTTACCGTTTCGTACCCTTTCTTCTCAAAAGCAAAAGAGCTAATTTGGATTATTTTGTTTTGGTTCTATCTTGTTTGGTGCTCGAAAATTTGAGTGATTATTAACTACGTTTCTGAATTCAATTTTCAATTTGAAGGTGATGTAGTAAAGGTGTTTGATAAAATGTCAGTATCAGAAATGTTGTTGGATGGATAGTTTGAGAAATGGGCCAGACGTAAGATGTTTTCCTTCCGTTGTTTTCGGATACAATCGTAGGTAAAGAATATTGTTTCTTGATGCTTCTTGTTACTGGTACTTGGTTCCAAATGCTACACACCAACCTGGCGAATTCTAGAGGTGTGATTTTTTCCCCTTCAGATCCCAAATATGGCAGAACAGGAAGGATCATACCAGGGATGCATACATCATTCACTTACCATTACAACTGTACATAATGTAAACAATTAACTAGGTAGAAAGAATCTATAATTGAACATGATCTAAACAATTGACTGATTAAAGGATAAACAAAGTGTCATAAGTGCACAACTAACAACTAGTGTAATGTACCAGAATTCCACCCATTAAAACATAAAATCACGAACGACTGGATGAAAATGGACTCTCCACCGGTCAAATAATTATGTATGGAAATTAAGACCTTTGATAAATTAAGCCAATTGCAATTTGGCAATAACATTGGCGGAGATTTGGTGATCAATAGACACTTTTTCATTCCATCTCTCCCTGATTGGAAGAGAATTTTCTTACTGGAAAATCGAACCTTTATATTTTGTTTTCAACTTCATAATATATTATCATTAAATACCTTCAGCAATTCCCTCACAAGTATATGGCATAAACAAATTGTAGGCAGAAATAGTTAGTTTTTTTGGTTTCGGACAATGGTGTACCTTCATTTACTACTATTGTATCTGTTTAGTGTGACTTTAGATCATCTGCCTTAGAATTGACAGTTATAAAAACAGTGAATTCTAACAAAATAAATTCATTTGTAATTCAATAAATAACAAAGTGGTACAGTTGTTTGCATTTTCTTCCCCTTCCCCTTCCCCTCCCCCCCACAAGCATCATTACTTGCCTCAATCTGTTAAGACTTGGAATTCAAGCTACATATTTCTTATACAGGAGCTGGGTAGCAATGGCTGGAAAATCAGCAAAAGCAGTTGGCCAGTACCAATATCCCTGGCGAGAGAAGTTGACAAAATACAAGTATGAGCTCTTTAAGGGCGTTTGGGGTTATTGGGAGCTGGGCGCCTGGAAACCTCTTGGTTTCAGTGCCCGCCATCGAGCTCCTCTCCGCAAAGAAGTTCTGCTTGCTGGGGAAGATTGGTCGTATGATCCTGAAAAGAAAGAGATGAGAACCAAGAGGAAAGGACATAAATGTGATAGGATTGCAGCCGAAAAACGAGCCAATACTGAGGAATTAATGCAGAAAATGCCTCAGATGGTGGCAGATTATCGGAAGAGGAGGTGGGAGAAGAAAATGAATGAAGAGGATGCTGCGGCTAAAAAAGTATAGGTTCTAGTTTCCTATTCCCTCATCAAACTTGTTCTCTCTGAAATCTTTGCTCAGTTGATGATATGTACAATTGTACTGCTTCCTAGGTACTCCAATTGTTCTTTTCATTTATTTGATTTTTTCTTTTCCCTTTCTCCTCTTGTGCATTAAGTTTGCAATCAAATATAAAAGATTGATGGAGCTTTCTGTTTAGATGACCTGTTATGAGTAATCCTTGAGTTTTAAGCTATAAGGGCAGGCATGAATGTTGAATCTTTATTTCCCTGGTAATTGCAATGGTAATTGACGAAATTAATGAGATGCAATGGGGAAAATTAGTATGGCCTGAACTCAGGTGGATCTAGTCAATGAGATGGCTGAGAATACCTAGTTGGTTGGGTTACTTCCATCGTCAGCAGCCCTGCTCAATTCCATTCATGTGGCGTGTCACATCATGTAGCGCAAGCCCGCTGAAGACTCTCAATCTTTGGGCTTTTCAGACTCTTTACCTGAGAGGGTGTTGCATTTGCTCCATCTGGTTCCTCAAAGATTACAGAAAACAGTGAATGCAAAAGGAAGACAGGAAAAAGAGAAGAATATAAGCAAAAACAAAAACAAAACAAAACAAAACACAATTAAGGAGATAGGAATATACCCAATTATGACAAGTCATCCAAAAGAATATAATAAAAGATAGATTAAGGTAATTTGCATAGAATAAACACTCAACCCAAACCAAAGGGTTTTAACTAACTACAAGTCCTGGACACTTGACGAGAAAAAAAAAATCCAAGTTCTGGATAATTAACCCTAACATTGAAACCACCACTATTCACATCCCCGGCACAGAGGTGAAAGTGAAACTACCCAAAAGAGACCTCATTTTCTATATATCATTCAAAGGCCCATTGGTTCTGTCTGCGAACCTCATCTTCCTCTTCTGGTGTATAGTCATTCTTGATGTGAAATGTCTTGCGAATCTCCTCTATAGATTTCCCCTTCATCATGTCAGCCACTGTTTGGCAAGTCAGATCCAAAAGGCTCTTGATATCGAGATAGTTTGCAGCCTGGGAAAAGACACCAAGGAAAAATCAAAATCCATGCTTTGAAAAAATACAATGGTGGACATCACCATCTATATAATATAGCACAAGGAAAGACATTAGATCAATCTAATGCATCAAGAAAGTATGACTTCCCTATGGACAAGATGCTTTTTCAATACCAAGCACGTTGTCAATGTTAAGGCAATTTTTCAATACCAATCATGCTGTGATAATCAGGTTATAAAACTTCGTAGTTAGGGTTGATGATAATCAAAAGTATAGGTCAGATGATTGCAGCAGATGCTAGAAGATCCAACAATAACTACCCAATGGAGTGCAAATGTCTGTACTATCACCAATTAGAACCCTTGACCCGCTTGTTTAGTGAGATAACAAACATGTTCCTCTCATTTTTTCTATACTCGCATATATTCCTACCGGCAGGAAATCCATGGAGAAAACAATCCAGTGAACACCCTAGTAAACGTCCATGGCATAATAAGCAGAAGCACACGCACAGCAGAAGATACGATTGAGAAAACTGACTAAACCCAAAAGGAAACTATCCAATTTTGGTTCAATATATTGAAGTCAAAACCTTTCATTCACATTCAAGGCCAGTCTGAAGCATCATTTCATTTGCTTCAAAATAAATATGTTAGCAAAAAGTAACAAAATCGATTACTTGGTGTTATAGGTACACACAACAAACTGAAGAAATTCAGAATTATGTGTTTACAATTTATAATACTAAAGCAAGCAACTTCCCAAGAGTCATTCCTCTATTCTATTTGACACACCTATATTTACATTAAGTTGATGTATATCTTCCCAATACACAATCTTTGTTCTTAAAAAAAAAAAAAACTCAGGGCAAAGCAGCTGACAAGAAAAACAATCACTAAGCTGTAGAGTCATTATGAATGTTAACTGAAGAGCACACATCATAGATTACAAAATCAATCTCAACCTAAACAAAGCCTATAACACAAAATCAGTCAAAAACCCACATAAAACTAGATAATCACATCATATTTGCATCATTAAAAAATAAAAAACTAAGAGTTCGAAGGGCTATACCAGAATGAGGTCAAACAGCGTGTTCTGGTCATCCTTCAGGTCCTTCACAAAGTCAGCATCAAAAGACTTGAGATCATTATCGGCGTCACTAACATGATCATCAGATTTGGGAGCCACGGCATGCTTCTTGCAGTATTCAATGACCTTCGACAAAATTGTGCTGGTCACGTTGGGCAAAGGAATGGTGTCGTCAGCACAATCATCCTCTATCATGTGCTTGATCGTCAGAGCCTCCATAGCCACAGTCTCGTCAACCTCGAAGACTTCCCCATCAGAGCTCAGCAGAGAGATTTTCTTCGTAGAAGACATTGTTCTGAGATTGGCAGTGAAATATTGAGAACCCTAAAAGCCTATGATTTATGGGAACAAGACTGCTAATGGGTTTTGTATTTATAGAGATATTTGGAAACTAAGGCGGTGAGGGAAAAAAGAGTAATTTCAGACTTTTAATGAGATTTGGATTCCAAGTAATTGTAGGATTTGTTTTGTTGTCTAAAACTTCGAATTGAAATCCTTTCCTAAACCAGCTCAAAAAATGTAACAACAAAAAAAAAACAAATATACCTTATTGTAATCTGTTCAATGCTTGAAGCAATTCCACCCACAACGATCCTACCGCCATAGGGATGACAAAATATAATCCGGTCGACCGGCCGGCAATGGCCTATTTCTCACATAGATGCTCTTTCATTCAACAACAGCAGCGTCTCTCTGGCAAGGCAAGGTAAGGAGTCCCCGCTCTTCAACACTGTCTCTGGAATCGCAGCGACAGTCAAACCTAAGAAACTTCCATAGATAGAAAACCCACCCCAATGACAACAAATCTGGAACAATGGATGGCCACACCAGTGATTTCGGCGCGAGGAAAGTAACTACATCAACAGTAACCCTCCATTGACTGACTGCTTACAATTTCTCTGCAATCATGGTTGCAACATGTATCCAAAATAAACTTCATATTGAGACAACAATTCCTGACGGGTTTTCGGACCCCAACGATAAAAGTGCCGATTTGATATCGAACATGAACTACCCTTCAATAGCATCTCCAATTTCGGTTGAAATGAAGACAAGAAAGCAACCAGAAGCGTCACAAACGTGGGTGAAACATGAGATGCACCTCTCGATCAAATTGGAAATCAAAGTGATACCAAATAAGGTGTTGTTCGAGATCAAAAAAAAAACATAAGGTGTTTACTGTTGTTCGTTTTGGTGTTGTTTGATTAGGTTTTGTTAGGCTTCAGCAACGGGCGGGCTGGGCTGGCCCAACCCAAGATTTCTCAGCCCATAGCCTGCCATGGGCTAAATGCGGGCCGGGCTTTATGGGCCACCCATTGGGTCTGAAACGGATTTTTTATTAAACAAATATTTTATATGTAAAAAAATACAAAAAAGACATAATTACATGAAGTTGGTGTGAAAAAATAAATTAACAAAAAATTATTCGTATGATTGAATTTAACAAATATTCATATAGAATTCCAATGTTACATTACAAATTGATTGATAAGTGAGACTATTTTCCATCACTACACAATTGTCAATCATTTGTAAGTCTCAATTTTATAAAAGTTACAAATCAAATATCAAATAAACAATATAATTATGAAATATAATCTAATTATCTTCTTCTAAGGAGTATATTCTATTTGAATGACAAGCTTCTTAATGGGTAGGCCCGTCGGACCCTCAGCCCTAAAAAACAAGGCCCAAGCCTTACCCGTCGGGCTAGCGGGCTACCCAAGCCCTGCTATGTGTACGGGCCATGACCGATCCATTGGACTTTGGGCTTTTTGGTGAGACTTAGATTTTGTTTTTTTTTTTTGTTTCATAATTTATTTTTTATAACAACTCATGTGAACACTTATCTTTGACTTCGTTATCTCACAATCGCTACCACCACCATTATGAGCCCACTAGCCACTGCCACCGCCATTTGTCATCGTAGTCCAACAACAACTGCCAAACCGCCAATGTCGTCACCATCACCACTACCCCACCACCGTCACAATTCTGCAATCACCATCACTATTCTGTAATTGCACTGTCACTATTCTGCGATCACTACCGTCACCACTACCACAACCACTTTGTCGCTGGCACTACCATTACCCACACCACCGCTGTCGCCTTCAGCTCCCCAACTTTCACAACCACCAGTGTCATCATGGTCGCCATCACCAAGGAGTGAAGTGGTGGTGGTATGATGCTGGTGGTGGTTTTGGGGTACCCATTACACCTCTTGATGCAGAATACCACTGACTGCACTGATAATCCCAAGTAAACAAAAAATCCTATAGACCATCATTTTAACTCCTGCTATTTCATGAATAGGAGATCAATGACCCAGCTACCCACATGCTCTAAGCATTTTTATGCAAAGAGTATTGCCGCTATACCAATAAGTAATAGGAAAAGAAGAAAATATAGCCAAAAACGAACATAAAATTTTGGAGAAAGCAATATACCATATTATTGTGAGTGATCCAAACAAATCCCAAACAAGATAAATTGAGGTAATGTAACTAGAATGACCACTCAACCTACCCAAAGGACCTAATTACAAGCTTGGGATAATTAACCCTGTGATTGAAATGACCAACTCCACAACATCGAACATCATTCAAAGGTCCATTGGTTCAGTGCGGACCTCCTCTTCCTCCTCTGGTGTAAAGTCATTCGCGATGTTGAATGTGCTGCGAATCTCCACTGGAGTTTTCTCCTTGATCATATTTGCTGCTGTTTGGCAAGTCAGATTAATATTGAGATAGTTTTCAGCGTGGTATAAGACACCAAGGAAAAATCAATGTATGCCTTGAAAAATACACTAGCGGAGATCAACGATAATAGAACAAGGTAAGACATTAGGTAAATCAAATGAACCAAATGCATAATGTAAGAAGTGTGCTATCCACCGTGATAGAATGCTTTTCCTGTACTAACATGTGAATGCAAGGTGATTTTTCAGTACCAAGCATGTTCTGAACATTAGGTAATACAACTTTGTAATTATGGTTGATAACAACTAAATGTATATGCTTGATGTGCTGACTAATCACTGGAAAAATGTCTGTAGTGTCACCAATTAGAACCCTGTTAACGGTTAACCAGCTTGTTTAGTGAGTAAACAAGTCCATGTTCTTGTCGTTTTTTATGTGCTAATATATATCAGGATAGCAGCAACTGCACGGAGAAAACAATCCAGTAAATACCCCAGTAAACCATCGCATAAGCAGAAGTATATGCAGAGCAGGTACAATGCAGAAAACCGACTAGACCAGAAAAAAAAAATACCCAAATTTAATCCAATAGATCAGGTCACTTGTCCAACATCAATACCTTTCTTTTACATACAAAGTTCACACATGTAAAAATTATTCACTGTTGAGATAATTCGCAAGTATGTCCTTTGCAATTAGTTATGATACTACAGCAAATCATTTCTCAAATCTAAGCCACATCTATATGCCTTAATTTGACGATGAATCTTCTCATTACACAAAATTGTTCTAGAAAAATCGCAGGGGCAACATCATCGTAATCATCAACAAACAAGGGAAACAATTGTAAAACTGTGCCAACATTCTTAACTTTAACTGAAGACCATATACACTACGAAATCAATCTCAAAACAAGACCAACAAGCAAGAAACTACAAATAAAATCCCAAAATCCATCGATATTTGCCATATCCTATAGCAAAAATATTCAAAACCTCCATAAAACAAGCTAATCGCATTCATATACACCATAACAATAGCAAAACCACGGCTTCCAAGGGCTATACCATAATCGGATCAAAGAGTGTGTCCAGCTCAACCTTCGGAAACTCGGCATCAAAAGTCTCGAGAGCAAAGCGGGTGACAGGATCCTTAGATTTCGGGACCTCGACGTGCTTCTTGCAGTATTCAATGACCTTCGACAAAATTCTACTCGTCACATTGGGCAAAGGAATGACAGTGTCGGCACAGTCGTCCTCGATCATGTGCTTGATCGTCAGCGCCTCCATAGATAGCCACAGCCTCAGCCTCGTTGACCTCCCCATCAGAGCTCTTGAGAGTGATTTTACTCGTTGAAGACATGGTTCAGAGATTGGCTGTTGAAACACTGGAAACCCTAACCCTAGATTTTCTACTGAAATAAGAATAAAAGGAGAGGAACGAGAATCGATTTTTAGGAAACTAAACCGGCGAGTAATTTCAGACTTTTAAGTTGGATTGCGCGGCAAGCTGCAAGTAATTTTAGGATAGTGATTAATTGTAAGTTGTACCTTCAAAAATTATTTAAATTTTAATTTGTACTTTTAAATATTAAATTTTTTAATTTATACCCTTAAAAATAAAAATTTAAATCAATGTATATCCTTAAAGATAAAAAAGTTTAACTTTTACCCTCAAAGATATAAATTTGTATTAATGTGTACCTAAAATTAAATTGATAAATTATACCTAGATCCTCTCATTCTTGTTACTTAATTATTTGGACCCCTTCACATTTAGAATATTACTCTTACATCTCATGACGTTTGTGTGTACACATAACCATTTTTGTTGATATCTGTTAATATAATCGTTAAAAAATATGATTTTGTCATAATAAAAAATTATAATTTCATATTACCCTTTATTTTTTGGATTCGATATATTCTAAAATTCAAAATCAAGCTTACTATTTGAATGTCCAAAATGTAGATTTTTATATAATTTTTTTTATATCCAATGCAATATATCACTCAATGTGCAACCCTTTATTATATTAGACATTCAAATAGTAAGATTAATTTTAAACTTTAGAGTATAGGGCTTACATGTTACACATACACAAACGTCATGGGATGTAGAAGTAATATTCTAAATGTGAAATGGTCCAAATAATTAAATGACAAGTATGAGGAGATCTAAGTATAATTTATCAATTTAGTTTTAGGTACACATTGATATAAATTACTATTTTTGAAGGTACAAATTGAGATTTTGATCTTTGGAGGTGTACATTGATACAAATTTTTATTTTGAGGATACAAATTGAGATTCGAACGATTTTTAGGGGTATAATTTATAATTAACCCTTTAGGATATAAAACTTTTATTTTAGTTAAGTTTTTAAAACTTTTTTTTATGTGAATTGAATCGTTTTTTCTTTTTGTGCCATACAGTCATACTAGCAATGCATGACGTGTGTCACACATAAATTTTTTTGTTGAAACAGTTGATAGAATATATTAAAAAACTTAATTATGTAACTATATTATATATTATTTCATATTTAGCATACTCAAATTATTTGTATTCTTTACGTAATATCCAATGAACTTATTTTTCGTAATTCTTTTATTCAAACTATAAAATAGTAAGAGTTATTGATTTTTCTTTTCTCGATTTTTTTTCTTTTTGTCTTTCTTATTTTTATTTTGTGTGTCAGTAATTTTTTAGTAATTTTTTTTATTGTAAATGAACAAATAAGATAAATATATTTGTTTTTAGCATTAGAAATGATATTGTATTAATGAAATTGTCAACGTGCATTAATATTGGTATTTTGACAAAAAGGAATAATATTGATTTTATATATTGTTTTAAGCATAATATGACTATTTAAAAATTTTACACAGAGAAAGAGATTTGTATGATATGTTAGATATTAGTTTGTTATTTAGATATATAAGGATATAATGATAATTTGTATATCTATATAATAAAATATTTAGATTGTTTGTTTTGAACTTTTCACAGTTTAGATCATTTGAAAAGATTATTGATCCAATGGTCATAATGTCAAATTCCCTCCCCCCCCCCCCCCCATTTTTTGAACAATACTTTCATTATTTTTACAATTTTAAGACTCCTATCTCTCTTATAACTCTATCTCTATCTCATACTACACACTAATTAGGTCGTTAATTATGATCCGATATAATTAAGGATTATTTTTAAAAATTTCAAATGAATCTTAAATACAAATTTTTTGCATCAAAATAAGTCAAATGACTAATAAAAATACTATAATATTCGAATGGTATAATAGACAAATAATATATATGTAATTTGTGAATATCTATATACTAGGGAGGTAACATTGTTTGTCTTGAACTTTTTGTGACCCAGATTGATTGATCAAACGATCGAAACTCCACTTCCAAATTTTTTTTCCATCCAAAAATTACAAGAATCCTTTCATTTTACTCAATTATTGGTTCGAAATGATTATGATTAAAATTTGAATTGAGTTGAATTTAATTGTCGAGTATAAGACATATATTCTTGCTTAAACTTAATATTTTTTTGAATTTTACGAGTATTCAAGTTGAAGTAAAATTGAAATTGATTGTAAAAATAAAAAAGAATAATTAAATTATAACAAAATTATGGTGTCATTGTGAACGGAAAAAAAATAAGAATTAGTTTGTAAGTTTAAAATACAAATGTTAATTAAGTCAAACTTAAATTTAATTCTCAATTTGATGTAATTATGATTAAGACTCGAATTAAATTGAATTTGACTAACAAAAGTATAAATTCTTACTTAAACTTAAATTGATTGAATTTTATGAATATTTAAGTTGAACTCAAATGAAAACAAATCTTAATTTCTCAACAAAATTTTTTATATTTACGAAAAATTCGCGTAAAATTTTTGGATGTTGTCCTCACAAAAGTTACACGAACTTATATTAGAAAAATGTTGCGGAGATAATATTATGAATTTTAGGTAGAAAACTGTAGAAAAATAGATAGTTATAATTTTTTGAAATTTGAGATAAAATTTATTAAAAATATTAAAATTGTGGATGTTTGATCAATAATAATTATATTTTCTCAAATTTTTGAATTAATATATTGTAGCAGTTATAGCGTGACTATTGTTATATAAATATTTGATTATATATGTTCTACATACAAATTAAATAATATCAACTTGATCGTTGTATTGTTAAAATTGAATTATACATTGTCTTTATTTATAAACAAATATTTGTAATTTTTTACGATTAATATAGTGTATTCAGACACGGACAATTATTTGTTTAAATACAAAAAGACATGTTTGCTTTTATAATTTTTTATAAGGGCAAAATAGTTAAGTAAAAAAAAGGGGGGGCAAAATAATGAATTAAAAATTTTTCATGTTAATATACTTTTTATTAGAAGTATAAATGAGTGGCATATTCTAACATAAATAGGTATAAAGACTCAATTGATATAATTAAAAAGTTTAGGGCTTAATTGATATAAAACAATCTAATAACCTTTATGATCATCTGTTTAATTTACTCTTGAAAAATTTATAAAGAAAAAAATTTATTTTGACGAGAAAAAAAAAATAGAGCAAGATTCAAAACCCCCGATTAATACCTTTTAATATTTTTTTATAATTTCTTTTTGTCAATTTTTTCTTTTTTTTTTATCATTAATGGATAAGAGGTCTACTTGTATGTAAGAGATCCCATTCATCGACTCAAATGCATGATAAGTTTATCTTCAAAAAAAATTCAGTATAAATACTCCAACAAGAAAAGAGATGAAGAAAAAATATATTGGAGGAAAATTTGGCTACCAAAGTTAATTGATTAAGTGCTGAAATGACAATTTTAAGAGAGGAAATAGACTTATTAAAGATTGAAATTGACAGCAACTGACAAAAAAATAAAACAAATTCAAAGATTTCCTTACTTATGAGATTGTATAGTTATCAAATCGTGTATCGAAAGACATATCATTTTTTAAAAATAGCATATCGTATCGTATTATGTATTGTATATCGTAAGATACGACGTAATTTTAAATAAATAATAAATATATATATATATATATACCTTTGAAAAAAATCATAGACTCATAAAAACATAACATTTTCATTAATACTCCACCAACTATTCAAGTCATCAACATAGTTCACTAATATTATAATGTAAAATTTCCACTATAGTTCTCTAATTCAAGTTTCAAACACCCAAGAAAAGGCAATTCTGGAGAAAAAAGAAGAAGGCAGCACAGCTACAGATCCAGATCCAAATACAGTGATTGGCTTGGCTGCTACGATGGCTTGGCTACTTCGATGAAGAACAGAGAGAAGAGAGAAGAGAGACAATCTGCTTTGATGCCTTTGTCGCTGCGAAGAATAGAGAAAAGAGTGAGACTTGTGTGAGCTTAGAAACATTGGGCTTTGTCGTCTTCAAGAATAGAGAGAAGAGAGAGAGAGGGGTTAAGGTTCATCGCTGCGAATAATAGAGAAAAGAGAGAGACTCACCTTTGTTGCTATGTTTTGTCATCGTGAAGAACAACTAGAAAACAGGGACGAATGGAGAGAAAAGAGAATTTTTTTTTTTTTTGTAAACCCTAACCACTGAAACGATGTCGTTTCAGTGGTTATAGGGATTAAAAAATCAGTCTCCTTTAACACAACGATGTCGTTTCAATAAGAAAAAAATTTAAATTGCCCATGCACATATCATACCAATACGTATCGTATCATAAAAGCATATCATGAATCGGATAATATAACGCAAAAACAATATAAAACTACAATTCGTATCGATTTATCTCCATATTGTAACGTATCGTATGATACTAACGACCAAAGAGAGTGCTTTGTCCACCTCTAGCCCTGGTAGCTTTAAACTTACAATAATGCTACATAAACCACCTTCTTACACCACCTTGGTTAAATTTGATGAATTCGAATTAATTCGCATTCCGTTTTGGCGGGCAAACCGATGCAAAGAGCATCCCAGACAACAAAGTTAACAACGCAATGCACATTTATGTGGTTCCAACTACTTGGACCCATTCACTAATCTTGGAGTAAAACCTTAGTTAACAATTATAACATCATCATTCCGTAAAAAAACATTACACTATCATCAACAAAACAAATGCCGAATAGTACTATACTAACCTGTAGTAAGAAGAAATGCCCTTCCTAGAAAAATGGGGACCTCGACGGGGAAGGAGATTCAAAAAAGTGATCATAATCACATAGACCAGGTAGACCGAAACATGAGAGCAGGAAATTGGCTTGTTCCATCCATTACATAGACAAGACCGGGCTGTAAGCCTAATCTCTTACCAACTTTAAATTTCAGAAACGTCTCGACCTGAAAATGGTCCCAACTTCTTGGCCCCTGGACCAACCCGCCCAAGCTCAAACCCCATCCGAAATCATCTTCAGGGGTATCGGACATGTTGACAGCCCATTGCAGACATCGGGGATTGGATTTTTTCATCTCAACCCAACCTCCTATTCTCGTACTCTCGTCAAGCTCCGACTCAAGCATCAATGCAATAGACCCAGCCAAGACATCTCCCTCTCTGTTTCTTCCAGTTGATAAACCAGAAGCCTCCCCAAATGTTTCAGGACGTCGTCTCAGTATGCCAACTGGCATGGCAATGGCTCCGAGACTGACCTGTTGACTAGACAATTTAGGCACTTGGTGTATACCCGAAAGAAAGAGTTTTGTATTTCTTGGAAGTTGGTAGACAACTTGGCCAAACGTACTGAAGCAACGGATGACTCCAGCAGAAACAGATTGCACTCCATGTCCGGAGATAAACTGAGCCAAAGAAGCAGCCACATTTGATTTTCTCACAATAAAACCAATACCACTACCGATCTGTTGATTCAACAGTGGAGGTCCAAGCAATGAATAATCAGTAAGCCCTTTGCCCTGCAACATCAACTCCGATTATTCCAGCAAAAGTAAGTCGGAAGCTTGATTGTAGGACGTAATAACATTTAAATGAGGCAATAGATGGAAATGCCACAGAGCACTAACGCCTACGCTTTCAAGTTAATAGTTACACAACACAAACGCTATGACAAAAACAGCACCATCCTGAAATATGGTCAAACTAGCTGAATCTCAGTCACAAAAAATGAAAACAACAAAGACGATTGCAATATGCTACTGCTCCCCAAAAAATATCAACTAATGCTCAAAAATTTAATGTGCTACACCAAAAATATATACATAACCGCAGAAAGGTTGAGATCATCAAATCAAGTTTAGTTGCAGAACAAGAGCTACCCATAAATTCAACTGACTTGTTAATTATGCCCAAGACATGTGGCCTGATTTTATTATGCATATGATGGATGCTGCTGTTCCAGAATAACTCACAATACCACAGCCAAAAGAAAATATACATCACATACTACAAGAACTGAGAAGGAAACAAATTCAACAACAATATAAATTACTGTGTAAATTGTACCTGATCAGAAGAATTTGTAGTAATTGCAACATCTCTGCATCGAGCTCCCACTGGGACTGCAACAGCAGAGAACCAATCACTAACATCTGCTGCATAAAGCACTTTTGCTAGTGAAAGTGGGCTGCGTAGAACATCATTTTGACCTCTTTCACTGGCCACAAACTCGGTTACAAGAGTATCTTTCTGCCGGACGGTGGTTTCAAAAGTGAACCTCAAATCAATACCAGTTCGGATCCCCGCTCTACGGACTGCATCACGTTTCTGTTCATCAACATTATCCATCATTAATAGTGCCCCCAAGACGTCAACCTCTCCCCTCACAAGGGTGCTGGATTCTTGGAATGGACTTCCCTTTGAAGACTTATAGAAGGAAAGCATCCGCTCCACCTTGTCTTGCCTGTCCCTAAGTATCATGAGATCTGAAAATGCCTCACGCTGCAACCGCTTCAAGATTTCAATCTGAAAATCATATCATTGGAAGAGTTGTAAAGCCCCATCATACAGCTTGTTGCTACCTATGGAAGCAACAAATTTGTCAAACTCAAAGTTCGGACAGATTAAAGTAAGAAAGAAAAGCAGCAAAATTCCAAACATGACCATTAAATAGGACTCTAGTCAAAGAAGCTCAATGCTTCTTGTAGTGACATTGTTATCCAACATCTGCAACTTACAATACAGACTGCACAGAGATGGTTTTACAATGTAACCCGATGTGTGTGAATTGCAACACCGACTGCATTGGTGATGGTCTTACAGTCTATTTTCGAGAAGGATCGGCCAATCAATTTCTCCAGCCAGTCATAATGAGTGATGAGATCACAGGAAGAAGGCATAGATCTTCTCACTTCAAGAAAATATAAAAAAATATGATCCATGCCAATCATTCGAAAATAGGAGAGAACGCCGCCCTCTGGGCATGATAGGATCACGCTTTGATGATAGAACCCGTTGGGAGGAAGCACCTTAGGTCCTTAGCTCTCAAGGAAAGGACGACCCATTTCAATCCGAAAAAACCAAACCATGCCAGAAGGGATATGGCACGCTTTGTCCTTGGTAGATTGCAATCAATGGGGCCTCGTAACTCCCCGGTTGGGGGCAGACTTTAGACTTATTTTTTCCATATGCCCTAGAAGGAAGTAGGACATCAAAAACTCTATACTAGTTCTAAATCAATGTAAGTATGCTGATCATGTCTGTGATTGAATGATTGATTGGGGATGTTCCAAGAAAATAAACTTAAAGCAACAATCAGCAAGAGGTTTACTTGGGCGTGTGTAGATATCGGAAGGGAACTTCTCAATCAGGATCAAATCACTCTGTATACTCCTCCAACGGTAGTTGATTGGACCACCTCAACTCAAATTCTCAATTAATTATTAAGGCAGCACCGTACCAAATAACACGGACTGTTTATTTTTAAATTGTTTAGCCGACCCTAAATGGCTGGGATAATGCTTTGTTCAATTGGGTGGAGTTTTCTTTTTCAATCTATTTAGTTAAGTTCGGTGTGGGTTTTTATCATTCATCAAAGGACTCCCAGCAAAAACAAGAGTTAGGTAATGGTGTCTCTAACCCGCAAGGTTGCAAGGTTGCTTTCCAGTCCTAGACTATTCCCTGAGAGCATTAAATGACCAAATACAGCCAAAATACCCCCACAGGAATGATCTTTCGAGACAAAAAAACATTGCAGTCAATTCTGAGGTAAAACTGTCTTTGGAACGATAAATTCACAAATGTGTATAGTTAACATGTGATACCATATGAGTGCATGTTTATGTATGTCTCAACACTTCTAAGTTGTAACTAAGCCTAATTACGCAGCTAACAAAGTGATAGCATATGAGTGGATGTTTGTGTATGTTTCAACACCTATAATAAACCTAATTACGCAAACTTGTACAGAAAACACAAATTATAGCAATCAAAGATTCAAAATTGAAAGCAAGTTTCCAAAAAAACTACATAGATTTAATAGCGATAATGCACACACTAATCACGAATATTATTAAAAATCAACAAATCTAAGCGTTTACGAAGAAAGAAAAACTAAAATGTAAGAGGTGGCTGCGAGTACCGGATTACGGCGATTTGAATTGTCACGCCAATGAAGGACGCCGGTAGCAAGGTCTTGGGTTGATTTTGCAAACCCTCTCAGTTTGTCAACTACAGAAGCTACAGGGTCCATTTTAACAAACAAGCCGATACCTGTGTCTATATTTACAGAGTGAGAGAGAAAGAGAGAAGAGAGAGGGGGGGGGGGGGGGATGTTTGAGGAGCTTCGATTTTGAAAAGACCAAGCGGCAATGAAGGAATGAAAATATTCTTGGGCTGGGCAGAGAGAGAGAGAGAGAGATTGAGACTAGAGAGACGAGGATTATGCGGGAAATTGGGGCAGGAGTTACGAGTCGGGTGCTATAAGTACACGTCGTCTGATAGACTTTAAGGAAAATTTCAACTATACCCCTTCTAATTTATCATATCTTCAAAGACACTCTCTATTTTCTAAATCTTCACTGACAACCCTATCATATTAAAAATATTATCTAAAATATAATTTTACTAAATTGGCCATGATATATTTTAGGATAAATTTCATCTACACCCCCTCTAGATAAGAATATTTTTAATGAGGACCTCTCTATTTTCGATTTTTTTTTACGTATTAAAATTATGACAGATTAAAATTCGATTTAAACTTATTAAAATTTAAAATAATTAAAAATTATATTTTTATTAAAATTTGGGCTAACTAAAATTCTATTTGAGCAAATTAAAAATTATTTTTAATTGACTCAAATCAAATTTTAATCAACTCGCATTAAATTTTAATTAGTCCAAATTTTAATACATAAAAAATATAAATTTTAATTGACTCATATTTTAATAAATCAAATTTTAATTGATACGAATTTTAATAAGTAAAAAAATATAAATTTTAATTGAAAGCAAATTTTAATCAATGCTAACAACTCGGGTAGAGTTTAAATCAAAACAAATTTTAATATATAAAAAATAAATTTTAATAGGATCGAATTTAAATAAGTTAAAAAAAAAATATAATCAGCTTCAATCGAATTTTAATTGGTTCAAATTTTAACATGTAGAAAAATAAATTTTAATCGGCTAAAATTTTAATAAAATTTTATGTAGAAAAATTACTTGAGGGTTATGTAGGAGCATTTTTGGTCTTTTAGATGATTTTTTTTTTTTTTTTGTTAAAAATGGTAGTTTAATGGTAGGGGTGTTAGTTATGTTTAAATATAAACTAGAAATGATGTTAGTGATGTTTTTGATAATAAAAGAGGTGTCTTTGAAGATATAGTAAACTATGAGAGGTGACTGAAATTTTTCCTAAACCGTGTTACAACTTGCACCTGCCAACGTGTTAACACAAAATGGATCAAAGGAATTTGGGGCTAATGGAGCCCAAAGCGGGCCACTGGGGAACCACCTTTAGGATTGATTTCAACAATGGATTCAAGTCTGTTAACTTTATGAAAATATAATACACCATTATTTCACGAGAAAACATCTCTTATGAATATTTTAGTTTTTGTGTGGATAATGACTTATTTTTGACCAGATCGATGAGAGGTTTAATCAAAAATGCGTATACACTGACTTAAACATCCCTAACTGTTCAACTCAAAAAACAAAAAAAAATATAACACACTCGTTACTTTTAGAAGTTAGAACAACATAGGTCATATGAACATGATCACCTCATCGATTTAGGTTGATATTTGGTGTATAAGTTCCATATTTTGCCTTGATTCAAGGGGGAAAGTAAGAGCCACACGTTGATTTCTTCTCTAAAACTTAATAAACGTTTCTCATCAACTACGTATGAACTATGTAAGAATAGTTGGAATGTGATGTGATAAACATTGTAATTGATGGATGGGACAACGTAAGATAAAGGGAAAAGTATAATTCTTCCGGTATTTCTATATCTTACATTATTGTAGGAATGAAGATTGGACTAAAGTAAAGGCATGCACCATAATTAAAAGAGGAATGCTATTGGGACATACACAATGATTTGGTGAAGAATCAGAAAAAAAAAAAAAAAGACGTGGTGAAGAGTCCACGGGCAGCACCCCAGCCCAGACAACTAGATTAGCTGCTTTTTTCATACTCAGCTTCATGAAAATCTCCACAGCATATATATATATATATATATATAGAGAGAGAGAGAGAGAGAGAGAGAGAGAATTGTAATAGGTGAACGGAATCAAAGAAATTGTTGATATATTTTTGTAGGACTTGATCAACAAGAACCGTGTATCCTTTCTGTGTAGGATGGTAACTGTCCCAGAATAAATATTTAGAGTCATCCGGACAAGTCTTGCTATATCGGTTGCATAAGATGACCACCTCCACAGTTCCAGTACCACAGCACCCTTTGTTCACCACATCAAAACCTGAAAATACTCACCAAAACTTAGA